CCCCCTGGATCCGCCTACCTCTTTGACGGAACATTCCAGCGGTCTAAGCATTTTAAACTGGAGTATTACAACCAAGTCTAATATGCCACAGAATGAAAGAAATGAAGAAGAGGAAAAAATGTGGAAGAGAGAGGGAGAGAAATTAGAAAAAAGACTTGGAAAAGAGAAGTTTTTAAAAAAGGATCAAGAAGACATGAAAGAGGGAAAAGGGTGAAAAACACAGTTTTTGTGTTGCATGACAGATTCCCTCCCAGCCAACCAAGGCTTGTCCTTTAATACCCAGAAGCTTTAATGTGGCTTCTCAACGATTGCACATGGGGCAAAGCTGACCACATTTCTGCCATGCTGCTTATTATACTGCATTGCTCACACTCACACTGCATATATGTGTGTGTGTGTGTGTGTGTGTGTGTGTGTGTGTGTGTGTGTGTGTGTGTGTGAGAGAGAGAGAGAGAGAGAGAGAGAGAGAGAGAGAGAGAGAGAGAGAGAGAGTCTAAGGTAACAGCATACACATGCTTGCTGAAAAGCTGTGGCAGTCATGCAGAGAAGGCTGCACTGAGACTTGCTTGTCTTAATTTGTCAACACATTGGTGATGGATGAGAGAGAGGGAATCAGGAGGACAGCAGGAAAAAGAAAATAATATTTTTTGGATTTCATGCAAGCATCGTGAGTGTTTAAGGAGTGGTAAAGTTTGTAAAAGTCAGCATTATATAGACAGTAATATATAGATAGATAGATAGATAGATAGATAGATAGATAGATAGATAGATAGATAGATAGATAGATAGATAGATAGATAGATAGATAGATAGATAGATAGATAGATAGATAGATAGATAGATAGATAGATAGATAGATAGATAGATAGATAGATATGTATACATGCCATTTGGCTCGGTTTGAAATAGACAACTCTGAACTAGAAGCTTCTAATGCTACTATAAGAGTATAACTATAATAAACTGTCAAAAATTAGGTTTATGGGGGTCACTTAAAAAATAAAAACACGAAGACCTAATATAAATCGGAATAACACACAGGGGCATACTTTAATTGTAGGTAATCCCAAGTATACCGCATCATCATGTGTGTGCTATACAGACTCACCCACGCAAATAAACACACTGCATGAGTTTTCCACCACTCTCAAAGGCAAGAATAGAAGGATGAATGAGAGGAAAATGAAGGATGGAGACTATGACATGGAGCAAAACATGTGTTCCTTTCTAACTGACCACAAGGACTTCCTCTTTATGATCTTCGTGACCAGCCTTGTGCATACAGCATGTACACACATACACACTTAAGCATACACATAAAATGCAACTTCCTAAAACTTGTTATTGACCAGATCTGGTTTTTTAAAAATCCCATAAATGATTGTATCTAAGCCAATCGTGCAATTATTTCAAAACCATGAAAAACATTTTTTTTAAGGCAAACAAAAATACATATTCTGACAGGATTTTAGTTCATAAAGACAAAGTATGAATAAAATATATGCAATCACAGATGTCACTCAAACCTTAACAATTATTGATAAATTATTTGTAAATCTTTTCCATCCATCTATCAATACATCCAATTTCTGCAACAGAAGCAGCAGTCTAAGCAGAGATGCCCAGATCCCTCCAGTCACTTCCCCCAGCCCTTCCAGGGGGGGACCTGAAGTTATTCCCAGCTAAGAAATGTTAGCTCTCCAGCATATCTTGAGTTTTCTAACAGGTTTCCTCCAGATTGGACATACATGAAACATGACATCTAAGATGAACCTGGTGGAATCCTATGCCCACTCCTCACACTATCTCTTAAGGTGACACCCTAGGGAGGAAGCTCTGACTGACTTCTGTATCTGTGATCTTATTCTCTACTCAGAGTTTGTGGCCATAATTAAGAAACAACTGGATCAACTAGTAAATCAAAATTTTGCTTTCTTATTCAACTCCTTCTTCAACTTAACCTACCAATAGAACCTATCAATTGCTACTGACACTGCACCATTCCCTCTTTCCAGTCCACTCCTCCTCACTCCTGAACAAGACCCTAATATACTTGAATTCCTCTGCTTGGGGCTGAACTTCTCGCCAGTACCCAGAAATGTAGAAAGGTGGTCTAGAGGCAACCAAACATGAAACCCTCCACCGCTTGGCTGCGCCTAAAAATTCTGTCCTAAAAGTCAGATGTATAATTGGTGGCAAAGGGTAGCCCAGGCAGAATCTAACATCCACAGCAAACAGGTTTGACTTATAGCTAGTATTCCAAATCATGCTCTTAACTGTACAAGTATTGAACAGGCCATAACAACGGTGCAGATTGCCCCAACAGATCTCCCAAAAACACCTCTACAGTGAGATATTATATTACTGTCTTCAAATAGTCTATTTTGAAAATAAAAATTCATACACATGTATATTTATGTTATGCAATATATATATTGATTGTCCGTGCATATGTATATTGCTGTACATCAGAGTGAATTGTGCAGAGATTTGTGCAGTGTGTAATGGCTGGTTGTGCAGGCCAACTACACAATACACGTTTCCTTGTAGTGTTTAGGATGTTGTGTTGCTAGATCTTTACATAATGTACTGTAAATATTACCAAAAACCCATTAATATTACAGTAATATGCTTTTTCATTGAAAGTATTCATTATGCAATAATAACACATCTGAAATTTGTAAATAGACAAATTATGTCAGGGAAAATTGCATTTAGTTGTTTCACTTTCAGAGTACAAATTCTAGTCTGTCATGATTTGACATTTACAGGCAATTAGCACCACTACAGTGTTTCTTCTGTGATTGGTCAAGAAACCAGTTATATTCATTCATATTGATGACTGTAGCCTGCTTTATTTGATTTTTGCTACCATCTGCTGTTCAAAAGTCAAAACACCAACAGAGAACAGTTTTCTCTAGCAAATGAATTTACAAATTATCAGGCAGTACAGAGGTGGGTATACGGTAATATTCAGTTAGTAGATATGAAAGATGTTTCTCTGGTCAACAGAGCTGCATTAAAACTAGATTAAAACTGCAGTAGTTAATTGATTTTGGCATGCGCAATATTAATTTTATCAGTAGAATCAATATTCACTTCCCAAAACAATAATAGTTAGCAGTCATTGTGAAAGAGATAATGAGTCTCTATAAGTCTATATATCTATATTTACATCTATGATAAACCCAACAGATTTTGTTCAGAATCTCCAAATATCAACAGTCACGCGTACACACAGAAACTGTGCAAAGCTTATTGTAGCTCAGCATTCAAGAACATTGGTCAGCGAGCTCTAAAAAGTTGTCAAATGGCCAATTATAGACAGCCAAATAGGGCTGGAGGTGTGTGTGTCTATATATTTGTGTGCGTGCGGGTATATGTGGACAGGAAGTGGTGGTGGCTGGTTTGAGGTCAGTGGCAGGAAAGAATGGTAGCTATGCTGTTGCTCAGACAACGGCTGGTCACAGCTCAAGCTTTTGGTTTCCTGACACACTGCAGCCTGAAACCGCATCACACCATCACTCCTTCCATCCGCCCATACCTGGTGCATTTGTGCCATCGATAATTTTAAAAGTAATGATTATATTTTTCATTTTACCATCATAATGTTTCTCTATTTTTATGCCTTTTTTCTCACTCCATCCACCCCACATCCCATAACACTCCATCAAACCACTCTATGCCCAGTGGCATCTGCTTCCTTACTAAATCCTGCTCCACCCTTCTCTTTAAACATTAAACACTGAACAACAGCGTGACCACAGGAACTAAAAGGCCGTGTTTCTGTGCTGTTTACTAGCCTGAGGAATACCACATCCCTCTCATTCAGAACTGGGCCCACAACCATCTACAAAAAAAAATGAGGCACGAAAAGATATGACCACAGTGAGGAAACTCATCATGTATGACACCTTTTTCACATTTTTGTGACCATAAAAACAATGGCAAGAAGGCATTGTGTAAGACAAGGAATACTGTAAATGTATAGGGCAATGGCTGCTACTTTTTCATTTGCTAAAAGCACATTTTATATCATGTTTAACCAACAAACTAGTGTTCTAGCCATATAAGAAAGCAAGCATTTGTTTTAACTGCACAGTCCTTTTTTACGAAATAAAATGTTGAAAGATACTTTGCAATAGGCAATACACAGCATACAAAGCAAGAGCTAAATGTAACACAATTAAAGAAAAAAAAATCAAAGCCTACATATATTTAAAAAAAAACATAAAACCAAGAGAAAGAAAGCAGAATTGGATTCAAGACTAAATTAAAGGGAGAAATACTGAAATAAGACTAACGCAAAATAGGTAAAAGTTCCAAAAACACAATGCAAAAATTCAGATAACTGTCTACATATATCACACTCACTGCTTATTATCATTCAATGGACGTTTACACTTAGGAGAACATTTACACACTTGGGATTTTGCAATAAGACCAACCGTTTACAAAGTATAGGGTGGAAACGAATGAGTGCCACAATCCAACCAGCAGATGTCAGTATTGCCAAAAAAAGGTGTCGAATAAGCTATGCAAAGGGTAATGGGTTCAACAATGAGGAGTATTGCATGGAAAGCTGCTTTGCAACTTGTAGACACACCTTGTGCAACTATTTCACACGTGCAACCATGTTATGTTTTTTATGTTTTTGCATAATCACGAGGGAAATCCCCTTAATTCTGTAAGATCTGAACATTAACAATTATGCTAAAACTAAAAAAAATACCTATATATTCGGTGTCATTGATTGCAGAGTAATTTGCTATTGTATGTATATATATATATATATATATATATATATATATATATATATATATATATATATATATATATATATATATATATATATATATTGTCTTTGCTTTAGTCTCGTGAGATCGAGTGTGGGATAATAACAGCTTAATACGTACGTATAATTTGCCTAGATGCAAATACTAAAACGCTCAAATGATCACCGAAACCAAAAGCACAGACCCAAAGCAAACCATTTTCCCAGCCGTGAACTGCGCGTGCGCAGAAAACAGGCACCAGTCCACTGCCAGCTCAGCTGACAGCAGCAGCGGCGGCGGCAGTACTCTGGCAGCCTATAACCATGGCAGACTCTGTAAGTAGAGAAGAAGTAGCAGTGATTAGTAATACCGACATCACTTCCACGGAATCTGAGAACAACATCATAAATACGGTCGTACCCTTTGTTGTTCTTCATAATAACCATACTTGAGGTTTAAAAATCTTTTTTGTTTTTACTGCTGAAAACCTTTCAAATAGGGCCTAATTTAATGTTAGCCAGTTGGAGCGTCGAAGACTTTTCCACTGTTTCTACAAAAAGCCTGCGGAGTTTTATGAAACGTTCACTGGCTTCCCCCGCTAGATTTAGCTTACTCCCTTCTGCGGCTTAGCGTTAAATTAATTAAATGACTTAAAGTTGCTTCTGCGAAGACTGTGTCAAACTTTAGTCCTAAACTTTAGTCTTCCTGACGTTAGCTTGCTAGCTATTAAGTCTGAACGCTAAACCTAAGTTTATGTTAGCCATGTTGCCCATTCTGCTCTTTGAGTGCTAACCTGTTAGAAAGATTGAATTCCGAATACTAAAGCAACTTTCCCCCCCCCAGTATTTCGGTGATTATGGTCTTGTCTTGTGACCTGCACACGCCTGCCATAACTCTGTGTGCTGTACTATTGTTATAGTATCTCCAGCTAACCAAAACAGATGACCCTTATTTTATACTCAAGTTTAATGCATATTTCTGTTCTTTTAGCCCCTGTCCGTTGCCGCTAACACTCTTCCATATGTTTACCTTTTTTTGACTTCCATACTCATAATTTATTCTGGTGTGTGCAGATGGTGGAAAGAGGGACGGCTCTGTTGAGGAAACTGGAGATAAATGTGGCAGAGGCAGAGAAGAGAACAGGGAAGAACACTGTTAACATGCAGGAAACATACACTGTGTACCTGATTGAAATACGGTAGGTTGTAAAGTGAAGCATTCACTTTTCTGTCCGCATCATAGGTGCATCATATGCAAATATTTAGTGCTTATAAAAAAGTAGAGAGAGGTGGAGTACGAACACTTGCATTTTTGCATTCTTTTGCGTGTTTTTTTATTTATTTATTTTTTACCTCAGATATATTACAGTTTGCACAACAAATTTGCCTTTTTGTCTTGATTTTTATAGTATTGAACTGGGAAAATATAGTCACATCATGTACAGTACAGTTGTGTCAACTGGCAAGTTGCTATGAATGAAAGTGTAGTAGCTCAAGTATCTACCACTTTTTTTTGACACACCTGAAATACAATTTTTTTTCTCATTGGTCTTTGTCCAGGCCTGCTGAAACAGAGGGAGGGACACCAGCGGCACCTGACACTTTGTGGAGACGCTACAGTGAGTTTGAGCTTCTCCGAACTTACCTGCTGGTCACCTATCCCTACATTATCATCCCCCCGCTACCAGAGAAAAGGGTGAGTAATGCGTAGGTGGTGGGAAAGGACTAATCAATAATTTTAAAAAAAGAATTAAATGGAAATTATTAAGTGACTATTACTAATACAGCTTACCTTCAACTTCATAGTAAATAATATTCAGCCATTTACCTTTTTTGTTTCCACCCTTGTTTGTGTCTCTTACAGGCCGAGTTTGTGTGGCACAAGCTTTCAGCAGACAACTTAGATCCAGACTTTGTTGAGCGGCGGCGAGTTGGCCTGGAAAATTTCCTGTTGCGTGTTGCATCACATCCGGTCCTCTCCAATGACAAAATTTTCTTCCTCTTTCTTACAGAGGTTAGCAGCCTAACATAAGTTGCATAATGTCCGTGTAGATCTTTTGCCATTCATGTAGTATATTCACGCCTTCCACATTCACAGTATAACAGATTTCAAACTGACGTTAAAGATGAACCCTGAACTGTAAAGAATTTAAGAGCTATTTATGCACCCATAGTTGGTAGATTTGTCTCTTCATTGCAGCCGCTTTTGTAGCTGGAATACCCCGTTTTTTGTTTTTTGGAGAGGGGTTATACAATCTGGCTGACTTTCGAGTCTGTCATGTATTTTTTCTGTCATTTCTTTAGGAAAAGGGATGGAGAGATGCGGTTTTGGAAACGGGCTTCCAAGACAAGGTACAACCAGATGGAGTGTGAAAGACACAAGTTCAGGTCACATGTGTAAACGATGCAAGTAGTTTCCAGGTCTGACAAGGAAAGCTGATGTTGGAAGTGCCAGAAACTGGCATTTTTTCTAATGGCCAGCAGGGGGCATCTAAAGTTATGGTTTCATGGAAGACCATGGGAAAACCACTGCCCACTCTTTTGATCAATGCCTCCTGTAAATACTTTCCTGATGAGCTTATGGGCTGAATCACTACTTTCAGTATGATTATCCCTTTTTAAATTATTGGTCCCACCAGTGTCCAGAAGGACAATAAACCAGGGTAAGCTTTTTTGCCTGTATAAACTGTTCTTGCCACAAACTAATGGCCAAGTGGCAAACATGACAGAAATACATGTCTGCTTAATACTGTGTGATTTATTTTGAACTAATTTCCAGTTCAAAAGTAAGTTGCATATGAGCATGCAGGTGACAATGACATGACGGTGGCAAATCTCAGCTCAGAGCTTTAAAACCAAACCAGCCTGTGGCTCCTTCCATCTTTTATACACTGTAAATGATTCTGTTGATGTTTTCATCATTTTAATCTGAATTTCATATCCGCATTTTTTGTGTGTTTTACAAATTCAAACTGAGTTATGTTTAAAGCACTTCTTCGTATATTTTGCTGTGTGTAATTCTTTTCCCTAACAGGCTGATTCCAGACTCAAGTCTCTGAGTGCCATGTTCAGAGTCAAGAATCCTGACAAGTAGGTGTAAAAACAGCCAAACCTAACCTAATTTTTCCATTTTCTAGGATTTATGCAAGTTACACAACTTAGACAGATTTAAGACTATTGTGAAATACTTTCTCAGGAATTTTTAATAACTAAAATAAATGAAATATTCATTATAAAATCAGGCAGCAAAAACAGGGTGTAAGATGTGTGATAATCACTTGGATATATTTATGAGCACAAATATGAAAATTCTATTTTTACCACCATATTAAGTAATAATTTATTCTGTTCCAAGGCAAACTGAAAGAACAAATTTCTAGAGTGAATAATGTAAAAGAAAATACTGTTCAATCAGTTACTTTTCTTCTTGTTTTGCCTCTAGGCGGTTTACAGCACTGAAACAGTACAGTGATGAACTGAACAGCGTCATCTCTCAGTTACTCAGAATTCGAGCGGTAAGTTTTGGCACGTTTGTTTAGAGAGACTGAGGTTTATCTTAAGTTGATGCTTTGTGCAAGCCGTGGGCATCCGTTGGTGGTTGCTTGTGGAACTTCAAATTCCAACATTTTTGTCTCTGAAATACAAAAATCTGTATCTACTTTCCTAGAATTTTGACTTTCTTTTCCAGGGCACTCACCATTTTATCTTGGACGTCTACTCCATAGCATGCCAACATTTATTATTTAAAAGTGATTTAAAAGCTGGCTGCATCCAAGACATTGAGAATAATAGAAAGTTATTGAATTGCACTCTAATGCCAAATGTATCTCTTCAAGGTTTTTAAAGCAGACGGTCTAAGGTCTGTTTCTAATGATTAGTTTTGTTTTTTTCTTCTAGCGAGTAGCAGACAGGCTATATGGAGTTTACAAAGTCCATGGTAACTATGGCAGAGTTTTCAGGTGAGGAACACCTGTTCTACTCTGTTTTCTACTGTATCAAATTATAGTTACAAGCATAAATTACTGTATCCATTTATATAAGCAGAATAAAAACACATTTTAGGCAGATGATATTTTACCTTATATTGAATTAGGTCACTTAAAAAGTTTCCCTGCAGCAATAATGCATTTAGTATTAAAGGATTGTTGTGGGTCATTAGGGAATTCCTTTTTTCATAGATATGCCTCAATTGCCTTCTTTGTTTCTGTATGCCCACACAATCTCCTTTTGTTTGGGTAATCATGATATAATAGATACTTAACTACTTAAAAACAATCATTATTTCAGACAGCCATTTTCCTGTTTAGTGAACAAAGAGAGCTGCTGCATTCAAGTCAAGTATACATGAACATTTTTCTGTCTTTAGTGAGTGGAGCGCAATAGAGAAAGAGATGGGAGATGGACTGCAGAGTGCTGGACACCACATGGACACGTAAGTAAAGGTGTTACCTGAATTGGTGATGGACACAAACACATAATGTTTGTTTGGTATTGCTTCAATTGTACAGTGACTTTGCGTGTTATCTCAGTTATGCTGCATCAATTGACGACATTCTGGAGGAGGAAGAGCACTTTGCAGACCAGCTCAAAGAATACCTCTTCTACACTGACGCCGTCAGGTATTATATTGTGTTACAAGATGGTTTTGTTAACACACTTATCAGGGTAGACAGATGCTCTGAATATGCTGTCATTTTATTACATTTTGCATAAAAGTTGCATACATGAATCTCACCATATGTAAAAACATGGAATTAGACGTTAGGCATAATACAGTAATCACTGTGCTGAAGCAGGTATTCTAGCTCAGTTACCGATGCAGCAGTGATTTATAGCAGGAACAGGAAGCCATCATTATCTTTGTTAATATCTGGAAAGGTTAATGTCTTCCATAGCACAGTCATGTAAACAGTAAAAGGAGACTTCATACCAACAAGGCTTCTGCTTGCATAACTTGGAAAGCCTGGACATTTTGTTTTTCATGCTTTACCTTCCACCTCATCTATTCCTTATTTTGTTTTGTTTTTCCTCTTTCACAAACACACAAGGGTTGCTTTGGTCAGTGTGTAACTTCATGCTTTATTCCTCTTAATTAGTCTGTAGTGATGCAGCACACATTTCTGACACTATATCTCTTATTTTATGTTTGCTAAAAATCTATTCTTCTGAATGAATTGAATTTTATTGTAAGCCTTAAAACATCATTCAGCAGAGAAAAGAGTGTCAGTTTTGTAGATCAGACGCAGCCCACATCTTTATTTACAGTAAATGTAAATACATTCTGTTGACTGTTATAGCCTTTGTAGCAGAATGCATTCATGTTTTGGGACTGTCAGGGTTTAAAATATGTCTGAATTTGTGTGTGCGTTAAGGTCAGTGTGCAGAAAACATGAGCTGATTCAGTATGAATTGGAGATGGCAGCTCAGGACCTTGCCCAAAAGAAACAACAGAAAGAAGAGCTGGCAACCGGGGTAACACACTTTCACACACTCTGGCTTATAATCTGTCTTTCTCCTCGCACGATATGTGCAAATTAAGAACCAGAAGTGGGCGTGTGTTCAAAAACACCGTTGTGATCCAAATTGTCGTGAACATAATTTAATGCGTGCATTTGTTTTTCCGTGTGTGTCTGTTTGTGTGTGAGTGCAGACGGTGCGAATCTTTTCTTTGAAGGGAATGACCAGTAAATTATTTGGCCAAGAGAGCCCGGAGCAAAAAGAGAGCAGGTTAGCAGCCCTGGAGCAGAGTATTCAGGAAGGAGAGGAAACGGTCAAGGAGAAGAACACCGAGTGCCAGTAAGCACAACACTATCTTATCAACCACTTACCTATTTTGAAATTATCCCTATTTTAAATTTCTCTTCCTCACTGTTCTTCCTCTGTGTGAAAAATATAGCACATAATCTGACTCTGTTTTCTGACTGAACTGTTGCAACTGAACAACATAAATGCAAAGAATAATAACAGGAGACTAGATAATTTTTTCCCCAGCACAAACTGGTGAACTGAGGTATTTGCTGAAAGTGTTGAGAGACAAATTGAGGTTCTGTGTGTAATTAAAAAGTAGTTCTATTCAATTTCTTTTTGTTTTTTTCAACGGAAAAACAAAAGCCAGTGGTATCAGTAGAAAATACAGGAACTAGAACCTAATAAGAATAAGGAACAAAGCAAATGCTGCATTGTTTTTCTTTTCTTCTTCCTCTACCTCTTCCTTTGTTCTTCTCCCTGTGCTTCTTCTCCACGCAAACAGACTAACAGTATCATGCGTCTTTGTGATTGTGCCACCAGGGAGTTTGTGCGAGCAGCATGGGATGACATCGAACATTTTAAAGAGCAGAGAGACAAAGATTTGCGTGAGGCGCTGATAAGCTACGCCATTATGCAGATCAGTATGTGTAAGAAGGTGTGGACATTTATTCTTGTGTGTATTTTGTGTATGTATATAAATTCATAGCATGTGGTCTTTTGTTCAGCAGTACCACTCCTTAACTGTTTAGTATTTCTGTCTTGTCTTTCAATGTCTCTAAGTCACTCCTTTTTTCTGGTACTTGTGTACTGTTACAGGGAATCCAGGTGTGGTCCAATGCCAAGGAGTGTTTCAGCAAAATGTGAGCCGAACTTTCCAAAGCGATCGTACTTTGCACCAAAACTATACTCTGATTGTACAGACTAGGACCAACAGCCAGTGATTATACTGTAGTCCTGTGGAGAAAAGATGGGAACCCAAATGCTGCCTTTAATTTGTTTTGCTATACTCAGTTGAAGCACACACACATTAAAAAAGTGAAAGTGGAACAATGCCTCTTTAACGTCAAGTGTCTTAATAGAACCTTTTCCTTGATTTTCTGACCTTCGTACTTCAGACAGTCCAAATTTACACACTCATCCTTAGTTGCGCTTTCATTAACATGTCCAAGAAGAAAATGTGGCATTATCATTGCACAATGGATCCATGGGATTATCCATGCAGTATATTTCAGTTGTTAGCTCTCTCAATCAGTCACAATGAATAACACAGAGCAATATACTAGTTTGAGTTGACACAGGCTGCACTTTGCAAACAGTGGTTCATGTGACTCGTTTTAGAGTTGCCTGCCTTGATGGAAGGATCTTTACGTGTTACCTTTCAACCCTCTCCAGAATCTCCTTACATAAAGGTTTTCATACTATTTGATTTTAGGTGATTAATGGCAATAGTGATGAGTTAAAGAATGGGGAACTTGTTTCTGACAGAACTTCTAATGTTATGCTTACGTTTGTGTTTAAATTTCACATTTGCAACAGCAAGTCGAACCAAACAAAAGCAGAAGAGTGCACTGGTGAATGTTCAATTTGAAATAAACTGCAAGAAATATGACTGTAAACATGGACCGAGCTTTAGAAAGCCACTACACTTTTTACCTTTCCATTTTTCTTTTTCTTTATTTTTTTAAAAGTCATTTTATGTTCGTCACACAGAAGTAATCTTTGTTATTGTTAATCTGTTGCTGACCAAAGTATTGATGACCAAGTGCTTTTATACTACAAATTTATAGTAGAAAATACAGAAGAAGGGTTGAAAAACTTCGGTTATGTGATTTTTGTTTTGTTTTTTGGCTGAGGAAAGAAATCACTCTCACAATTTGAGTTTCATAGTTTAATTGTTTACACAAAATTTAACCGTAAATGCGAAAAATCAGATCCTTTATTTGCTGTCAAGCATTGTAGCTTTAATGCAACAGAAAAAAAACCCATATAGAACTCAGCCCACTGTCAATGTGCCTCACCACTTATTCTGATATGACCTGAGTGCAGCTACACACAGATACAGACTGTTTTTTGGTTGAGATCCTCACATTAGGCTTACATAAACATACACGCATACTTGTGCTTCTTCGATGACATCAATCTGAAGGGGAGAAAAATTGGTGCATAATGGATCTGACGTCTGAATGTTGTGCTGAGATCAGCAAAAAATTTTCCCCAGAATAAACAATTGTTTTACTGAAAGAATCTCAAATTGAAGCTTTATGTATGTTTGTTTTGTTTTTTTTCTAAATGACAAATGTGTCAGATGTAATCATTGTGTTATGACACTAATAAACATTTCCCTTTTTTGAACTTACTGTTGTGTTTTTATACCGACTGGCAGAGGAACCAAAGAGAACGGGGAAGCGGGATGAAATGTGACTGCTGGTTTTGCTTAGCATGTAAAGGTGGCTGTGGGTGTTTTGATTCTTCACGTAGACATGTTTGCTTTTCCTGTTTACATTTATTTGCCGTTAAAAGATAAGAGAAACGGGCTTTTTATTACCAAAGTCTAAAGGTCAAACCTCAGTGATTCATCTCTGCCAAGATAACTCAAAACCATCCCCTCAGGTTTTTTTTTTAATTTTTAATTTTTCCATGACACTTGTTGGTGCTCATATTAGTGTCTTCAGTGGGTACATGGGTCAAATGCATGCAAATGTACTACACAGCACACAAAATGTAGTGTAAAATTCATTAAAAATGTCAACAAACGGCCCTAGATGGTGGCATGTTGTCTTCTGTGTTTTTATATCTGAACACAGCCCTGAACATTTGGAGTTTATTAAGATTTGAATTAATGGCGCCACCTGTGGATTAATAAAAGCACACGCATTTCACTTTGGCAGAGAGGAAAGGGTTTTTTTGGGGTTTTTTTTTAATGGTGAGGAAAGGAAAATGTTCCCCTTTCAGATCCACCTTCTGGTCGGTTGGTTGGTGTGCATGAGGTCATGTGTGGTTTTCTCAAATGGAAACCTAACATTAATTTAACATCAAAAACAGACCTAAGGCTTACATCAGTGATTTTCTGTCCTCTTCAGAAAATGATATTTTTAATAAATTGAAGCAAATTACAGACTTAATCTTAAATCTTAGCATAAGTTTATAAATGTAGAATACACAATCGAAATCATGATTAAACTTATGTGGAAATCATTAAGTCATGAAGGGATAAGCTGCTGTAAGAAAACAAAACAGACAAAAAAAAATCCCTTTAGGTGTCTCAGCCAAGGCCATGGGAAGCAGGGGTACTGAGGATCCTGCAGCACATCCTGGATTCTCTGTTATTTTTATTTACTTTCCATTTAAATTCTATTAGTTTAAGAAAGTTTTAGTAGTGTATGGTGTGTGTGTATCTTGCATAGGTTAAGTTGTGTCCCTGACCACAGATTAGTGACTGCACATGAAAATGGCTATGCAAAACTGAATTTCCCATGAAACATCGTTAGAATCAGCATGCTGCTCCTACAGTACTCACGAAGACAGCCCAAGGAGGTTGGCTATTTCTTTGCTTCAAGGGAGCAGAAAACCAACCTAGAAACTAGACATGATGAAAAGTATGTGGCTGGAAACATACTTTTGGGGTTTGGGTAATATTTGAAATTATTGAGAATATTTGAGGCCTTCCGTGCTCTGCCACAATAAATTAACCAAACATCACCTGTTATTAAGTGTTAGTTGGATCCGATGCGTTTCCTTGGCCTGTAAATTGAGCATGGCCGGATCGACAAGATATTTATGTGGCTTTCATAAGAGCCAGCTCAGAGCTGCTATTGGCTGTTACTATTCTGTGGGTAAATCATGGCGTGTTTGTTATCTGGTTACCACTGGTTTTGAAAGGAAATGAGTGTTTGAGGCAGTTGTGATAAAGAGTGAGGCTTAGGTGCAGTGTTGTCTTTGCTGTCTGGATGGTTACAGGTTTATTAATGTTTTCTGTATAAATCTGGCTTTCATCTCGCAGCCGTTCTGTATGATTTTTGTTGGGTTTTTTTTTACTTTATTTTAAAGGCAATCGTCATATTAGGTAACATGGTAACCAAAGTACATTTTACAACATATATAATTTATACAGCTCTTATCTAACTGCTGATGATACTACCCTACCCAACTCATAGTACCATCCCCACAGCTATGACCTCAGCACATAAGAGATAGATCCTTTCGAGGTCTTGCTGGACCCTTTATCAAAATTTGGGAAATACTTAATGAATGACACGATTATACTCATTAGTGGCACTTTCGAGTTAAAATAGTGCATGGCGGCTGCTATCATGAATGACACAAGTCCTAATCGGCACTAATCGCGCTTGATAACGGAGAGCATGCACCCGAAATGTTCGCAATACTTAACAGAGAGATACAGACAAAAAGCCCACTAATTAGCGCGGAAAGTCATGTGAATGCCAGCACAGCAACGTACCTAGCAGTCAGTCCGCCTCCCTTCATTTGAGAGAAGAGACCGCCTACCAATAAAAACCGAACCTTCTCTCCCAATCCAGACAAAGGGGACGACGGATCCGCGGCGGCGCGCACTGAGCCTGAGCATCTCAGCACCTTGGATTGATCCGACGCGCAAGAACGCACCGGCACACACGCGAGCACGCCCTCCAGATCTACCTGAAACCTCCACGCCAGTTAATTGTCATTGTTGAAGGGCGAGAAAAGGGAGATTGAACCCCGATTTTATTCGCAGCCTCGCCGTGTTCCCATGATGTCATACCTGTGGATTCTGCTATTAGGAAGCCTGCTGGCTACGCACGCCAAGGCACAAGGTAATAATTTGTTTCCAGTTAATTCAGCGCATTCTTCAGCAGAGCATTTCATGTGTTAGTGTGCATGGTGGCTTCTATCTATCTTTTTATCTGTGCATCTATCTGTCTATCTATTTATCCATCTATGTCTGTCTCTCCCCCCGTCTGTCTGTCTGTATGTCTGACTAACTGACTGTGCTGGTCATTATCTCACTGCCTCCATTTCTCCCCCCACCTTTACTCCCCTCTGGCTCTCACCTGTCTTTCTCCTTTTCTGTCTTTTTCTCTCCTCTTGCCTTTGCTTGTGTGAGCACAATTACCACTGTGCCTTTTGCCCGAATCCCTGTCATGTTTCAATTCAATTAACCTTTAGCTGATTAAAAAAAAATCTATGTTATTATTGTTATTATCAGTTCTGGCTAAGCGAATGAAAAGCCCTCCATCTTTATTACTATATTGGGGTTCCAGCTTTGTTTCCCAGACATCATCATTAAAAAAAGGTGTGTCTTGTCATGTGGCCATTTCTTTTTGGACTGGAGTTTAGGTCCATAGGGGTGTGGTGGTTCCATTGTTGTTACATAAATAATTATAATTGATTCCCGTTTCCCTGTTTCTGTTTCAATGTGTTATTGAGCCACATCTATTCTTTTCCTCTGCATCTCTCGTTCTTCGTGTTTTCTCTCTCCTCTTCCTTTCCCTTCTCCTTCAGCTGGCCCATGGGCCTCTGCCCTTCCCTGCGGCACATGCAATGATTCCAGATTGTTTAAATGTGCAGTAAAACTCACAGGAATAGAAAGAAGCATTGAGAAAAACACATAAAGTGAGGAAAAACTAAAGAGAAAAGTGGACAGCTGTTGGCAAAAGATAAAGGAACAATGTAGCTGATTGAGAGGGAAAACAAGGATACACAAGCATGGAAAAAGTGAGACAAATTCGTTTTATTATCCTTATGCAAAAAAATTCAGTTGGACGTTGGTGCGCATGGATGCAATCTGGCAAAATCTCACTCTACCGGTTATCACCAGATAAACCATCAGAGAGGAACCACCTTCACACACACGCACACTCTCTCTCTCTCTCACACACACACACACACACACACACACACACACACACACACACACACACACACACACACACACACACACACACACACACACACAAACAGACAGACAGAGAAAGAGAGCGCTTTTTTCCCTTCTCTTTTCACACACATTGCCCATAATTGCAGAAGTTTAATGTGATTTTAAACTCAGTAGATGTTGGACTACTCAATCACAGAAAATCTCAATGGGTGTGTTTGCTGACTTGCATATGTGTGCACACCAATTCTTAGTCACACCAAAAAAGATGGGGCGCTAGCTCAGCTGTATATGTGCACATCAGTTATAGTGCGATTTATAGAGTTGAATGATAGGGAGTGTCAGTAACTAGATCCAGCACCAGCTGTAGACAACACCCATCTACAGAACTAGTCTCAGCGCCTTACGCTTCCCGGGGGCCCTTAGCATCTGTGTGCGTATGTGTAGGTGGGAGTGGGGTAGAAGTTTAATGTACAGAACATGTGGGAGTATGGGTGTGCTTTATTTATCGGTGTGCACAATTCAGCTAGGGAACATGTGTTTGCCTTAGAAACAAATAAAAGAAAAAAGAGCTGTGATGTGAGCCAGGTGTGTGTGTGTGTGTGTGTGTGTGTGTGTGTGTGTGTGTGTGTGTGTGTGTGTGTGTGTGTGTGTGTGTGTGTGTGCAGACTTGTCTGTGTTTACACCTTCAACTGCTAGCACATAAATCATTCTTTCGGTGGATAAGGGAAACCCACACCCATGCACACAAACACTCCACACATGCATTATCTCTATGGGGGCATTGTTAAGACACATGATTGGGGTAAACACAGCACTTTCTATCCCATAGAAACACAACAGAACCATACCTGTGTCACCTGGCACACATGCACAAATGAGTTCATGTGTATTTTTACAAGGCAGGGCATGCACACGCATTATTACTCATTCAGCTACACACAGGAAATCGCACAAAATCTCATGGTAGGAACCAGAAAAGCTCGAGAGTAATGTTCTTTTTTACTTCATGGTGCTGGTAATGTGTTTCAGATTCCAATTTATGTAATGCACTGTCCTGTGTGTTACATAACTAAAACTCCATTAAAAACACCTTTACTCTTCTTCAGTTTCCAAAACAAACAAAAAGAGAACGTAATAGGAATTAAAACAAATTCAGCTTTTTATTGTCAGGCTTGCTAGGGCGTAATATAAAATGCCAAGATAAGGAGTTCCATCACTGGACATATCCACATACTAGTATAATTCCCAACTGTCCATGTTATTTATCTTTCTACGATAAGATAAGATAAGATAACATAAGATAAGTTTATTAGTCATTTCTTTACAAGGGGCTTTTCACAGTATATAGATTGCTATCTTTGATGTGGCAAATGTTTATACTAGTCCCCTTTCCTGAAAACATTGAAACTAGTTAACATGCTGTAAACTACAGAAACATCATTATTTAACACAGTATATTAATTGTTCATAAGAACCACACCTCTTTGTGGCATTCTTTGCAATCACATATATTTAAGTGGAATTTCCTTTTAATTAAAGTTCTTACCTTATTTCCCAAGAACCACTTTTCCTGGTTCCTTGTCATGACAGTTCTGTCTCTCTCTTTTTTTTTTAAAGCATGTTGATTTATGCCAGAGTGCCACCATGACAAAGCTGATGCCCATATCAGTTTGCTATCCTAAGTGCTATATTACAATTTCATCTTGGTTGAATTATATAGGCGAGGTACAGCATACTTCAGGATGAACTCTTACATTTTGGCATAGATCCAGAAGGCTGTTATCAATCACTCTTCTTTCTAGATACATGTCATATAAAAAAAGTAGTAAAGCAAACTGCCGGTTATGTAACACGGAAAGGTGAAGATGGACTCGAAATGAGCTGTGTGGAAAGATGCTTATAAAATTTCTCTCACGGAGCTAGAAGTTGCCAGGAGTTATAGGCAGAAATATGTCTTTTCCAAGAGTCGTCCTTTTCAGGAGAGCAGCTAGAAATAATCAATTAACTGCCTGCTCATTGCCAGTATATTATTTGATATAAATGTAGTTGGCAGTTGAATGATTAAGTAATAATTCACTTATATCTAAAATGTTGAATACTTGCCATTTGTAGCTGCACAGATATTCAAAACAAGACATTTGATCATGTCACTCGGGCTGTATGAAATTATATCAGGCATTTCCCACATCTGCTTTCATTCTACCCAATTAAATTAGTCAGTATTTGAAAAAAATCAATCAGCAGTCTAATCAATAATAATAATAAAATTAATAGTGGCGGCATTCATTTCCAGCAACGGCATAAACCCAACAAGACAAGTTCTCTTTATTACACTTTAATTTTTGTTAATTAATGAGCTTCTAGGTGCTGTTAGAGAGATTTTTCCGCCAGTCTAATTGATAGTAAGATACGTTCCCACATGGGTGAACTGGTTTAACTTAGGAACTTCTTTCTCAGGGAATATTTTTGCAGTTTAGCACAGTTGTTTTGCGCCACACAATAGCGTGCGGCCATGTCAGAGACACAGATGACTCATCAGCCTCAAGGGAAAGTAGCGACAATGAAAGAGAGAGAGAGTCGAGACTTGGTGAAATGGAAGGGGCGATAGGGAAGGCAAGGAGTGAGAGCGCTTGGGATGTGCAACAGTTGGCTTCACTGCTGTGCTAACACAAAACAGGGCTCCCCTTACTCAGAGAGGGTGAATGGGAACATGTGTGCACATGAACTTCACACGTGTGTGAACATGTAGCTGTTTGTATGATAGGGGACAGGAGGGGAGGAGGGAACATTACATGAGTTTGTATGTATGCATGTAAGTGTTGCTGGACTGGGCAATGCTTATGGGAGAGGTAGTTAAACGAGGAAGTGGCAAACTAATAGATGGGAACAGAATGTTCTATGAAGAAGGAGTTTGCATAGAGGGGTAGCCTCTACACACTCATAAACACAAACACACATGCACAAGAACTGGGGGAATTATATTTTATCCTCATGTCTCATGCACACTGCGTTCTCACACAAATAGAGACTCATTATTAGAGTTAATGGTTTGAGAGATTATTAATAAGATTGTGGCAGAAGGTTACTGACAGCTGTCTAAGGAACAGTTTGATGAATGTAGTGTTTTTTCTGTGCCTCACCATAGGTGTTCTGGTGAGACTCATCAACTTCATTCTTAACTGTGTTCCACCCCATTAGCCTGAAGTGGCATGCTACAGCACATCTTTGCTGAAGACAGTAATTTCCAAAGAACTGATTAAGATAGTGAAATTGATACATACCACACATATCCATGCGCACAATGTATGGAAACTGATTAATGTTTGTTAAACTGGTGCAGTGATATTCAGTGGAACAAAGAGATTTTTTTCTATGATGGTTTCAGGAGCCATGCAGTGGTGCATGAGAGTTTGCATGTCAAATATTCATGCTGCAGTGTGTGTGTGCACTTGCTTTTGTTTGTGTGTGTGATTTTTTTTTCCTGCAATATGAATGTATATTTGTGTGGATGAATGGATTCAGGGTGTAGCCAGTACTTGTTACCACTAAAAGATTTTCACCCCGATGGAAATACTTTAGATGTGTTGCTGCTCTCCCTCCAGGCTTTGCTGATTGTGATACAATCTCACTTGGCAAGCCCCGTGATTCTTTATTGAAAATCCACCCTGCAATGAATAGCTCTTAAAAAAGTGGTAGAGGTATTTGATTAGATTTTTTAATCAGTCCTGCCTTAATATTGGGTGTTTTGTGAAAGAAGATCTGCTCAGATAAACCAGCATCAGGGTGCTGCTGACGTCAGCAAGCAAAGAACAATCAAGCCAGAGCTCACTTTACTGCTTGAGCTTGTCACATGCGACGGGGGAATGTCACAGGCGTACACGCACACATTGCTTGTCACACACAGACTGACAAAGAGCACATCTCTGTCATTTTCTCATTAGCACAGAGTTGCAATGCCAGTGCTGAGGTTAAGACTGCATTTGATGTGGAAGCAGGTCACAAGTGATCGATGTGTATGTGAAGCAGGTTTTTTTCGTTTGTTTTTGGCTGGATCGGTAGCATCAGGCACCAATCAGGCCAGGGTGTGGTTCTAAGTTTATGTATGTGTCATCTTAAACACCACTCAGATGACTTTAATGACTTAGAGGAGCAACAGATGGAAGGCGATTAAGGCGTGCTGCTTTTTAATAATCAGCGGTTACACAAATCATGCCAAAATTTTAGTAGAAACTTTATTATCTATATTATTATATTAGAAACCAATGCGATATTCCTTGCATTGGTTTTCAAACAGAAAAGTTACAAAATAGGGAATTGTATCATCGGGAAGTTCTATGGGTTCAAAAGCATGGAAAAATATTCTTTGAGACACTGAGGTGGACTTTGAGTCGCCATGTCTGCCTTTTTTGTTTGATTGTTGTACAGGTTCTGCCAGCTGTGGCACCATGAATTGGCTTTTTCCCATCTGTTTCCAACTGATTGTCAGTATGTAATCCCACACTGTATTATTCTCTGACTTGCGTCTTTCACTTAACTTTGTGCAGATGATATAATCCCAACAGTAGAGCCATCTATTGAAACTCCCACATCTAAAGCAGATGTAGAGGTCATCGACCAGCATAACCTTGGGGAGGTGGTCACTGCAACTGAGGTGAGAAGTTGAGATATTTTGTTTGAACTGTTCAGTCCTGGGTCCCTGTCAGCCGTTTGAAAATCTCACCTAGTGTTACATAGACCGTTGCTTATTTAAATAAAATGTTGTGCCAAACAGGAAGTATTGCAGCCTGAGCCCACTGCTGACCCTGAGGCTGAATTAATCCAAGAAGCAAATGCTGCAGATGTAAGCACAGAGCCAGTGCCTACAGATGCTCCTGCAGGGGAGGAGGGTCAATCAGCGAGTCCTACGACTGGAGAAACAGAACCAGTTATTTCTGACGCGCCTACAACTACACAAGGTGATTAATAGAATTGCATATATGCACATTTAAAGCAATAATGAAACATGGTGCTTTTGTTTCTCTTTTTTTGTTAGATAAATAAACTGCTGTCAGTTTCCTCACTTTTTAATACTTGGCATTCATACTACACTGTTGTTTTTATTCTTTCTTTCTTTTTTTTACCTCTCTGCTGTAAAATGTTTCAGGTAGTTAATATCTCACAGCAAAGCTGCAGTTTATTAAAAATAAAAATCTTCATTCTTCATTGCAGCAAAAAGCAGGTTCAACTTTTGCACTATTACATCAAAAAAAATGATGTAACTTTGAAGGAATGGCTATTATAATGTAAAATGTTTCTTACATGTCTTTCTTGTATTGTTTTTAACTGTGCAGCAAAACAAGCCCTAAAAGCCCATGCCACAGAATGTGGTAATTGGGCTATAAAAGGAAAAATCAGTGAACTAATGCTTCGCTACTTCTGTTTCACTTCTATCCATGGCCAGCTGCTGATTCTGAGGATGACACTCCAGAAGCTACGCAAACAGCAGTTAATGAGGAGGCGCAACCCACCACAAATGCGAATACAACACCTGCTCAAGACGAGGTTAATACCATTTTTTAAAAAGTAAAACTTCTTATTCACACCTATTAAGGTTTGTATTTTACAGATGTCATTAATAGGTTGCTATGATAGTGAGTAAATGTGTCCTGTACTATGGGTTCATATGTGTTATAATATTTTTTTAATAGAGTGGACTTCATGACATCATAACAACAGTAGGTCTAGAAGCCAATGAGGAGGCACCAACTGATCCATCTGCTAATGAAGAGTCATCCACAGATGATTTCACAACCACAGATGAAACTGTCACTATAAGTAAGTAAAGATATTCAAGTACATATTTTGCACACTCTTGTACATGCATTCATGAATATGGAAAATGCACCTGAGTTTTGAAAATGAGTATGTGCTAAGACCACAGAGAAAAAGTTGTAAACAGAGCCAAGCACATGTATTCTGTAGATGAGGCCATCTCTTGAGTGTCTTTTATGATGGGATATTACACAAACTTCTTAGTAAAACGTCACCTGCTGTCCCTTGTTTCCAGTATAAGCATGTATTTTGTGTGACAGTAGAACTGCAAGTCATAACAAGTAGTATAAAGAGACCTTTATATGCCTCATATATACACAAATAATAGCATACAGACAATAAACATACCTGTATTTTCCCTTTGCAAATGCAGGTCGGTTATTATTTGGCATTATGACTCCTTCTTCTTTTGATCATATAACCTCTAAACAAGACCTAAAAACATTTTATTTTCCTTAAATTCAGTTATATGAAATACACAGAAGCTTGCAAGTTAAGCTGATGTTCAGAAATGTTCATTTACAGCATTTTAAATAATTACAGAAACGACAGATGAGGATCTGCATAGCTTGAAAATCATTTGAGCAGAAACATTTTTTAGAGCTTTCTTAAGATGATCAGTTGAATCTTGGGGTTTTCCCATAATCTCTGAATATACAGCAGCGCTGCCTGTCCCTGAGCAAAGACTTCAAATCAAACAGATCTGAAGAATGCCTTTCATTCTTGCAGTTTTGTTTTCTAGATTTTGGCCATAACTACATATTTTAAATTTGAGATTCGATCTCAACTGAGAGATTCTTTGATTCTGGGACTAATAAAATTACTCCTGACAGAACTTTTGCATTGTCACTCATTAAAAAATATGTACATGCTGTAATGCTTTTTTGAGGTGTAATGTACTCTATATTTTTTTCTGCAACTCCCTGTTTTCTGAACAAAATTATCCATCTGTGCCTTTCTATCAGGAAATACAATTCCCTTAGGAAGGTTCTAAGGTGGGATTTTGGCTTGGCTGATTTTATCTTCCAAATTATGAATGTCATGAGCCTGCCAAATGACCCGAGTAAAGGTTTATGAAAATAGAAGTGTCTCCCTTAATTTATTTCTATTTATCTTATAACACCCTCTTTCTCAAACTGGAGTTTGTGCTCTTTCATACTAAATGTTATGCTGACCTCATGTCAGTATGTCCTATTCTAAGGTTATGTTTGGCTTTACCTTTTTTTAGACAGAGACATTGTGCTTTAGCTTAGCTTGTCCCTAGAAGTGCAAGCACTGAGATGGGAAAGGAAGTTAGTAATTTGGACCAATTACCCTGGAAGAACTATTCAGACAAGAAGAAAAGATGTGGGGGTCAGAATGAGAGTAATGTAGGTTTGTTATTTAACATCCATCCTATCAATAAATTATTTTGGTATTTTAATTGCATTTGTTTTCATGATGTTATTAACAGAAAGAATAGGTCCCTAGAAAATAGGTCACTGAGGTTTCTATCAGTGATAAATTAATGCGGTGATCACACCCCACCCTGCCCTGGCCAGCCTAACACTATACACTGAGTCCCACATGTTATTTAAGTCAATTGGGTTTTCCTCAATAAATATATAGTAGGGTAAGGTTTTGTTCGTGACAGACAATATCCCTTAATCTAAGTCAACATTGGTTCACAAGATCACAGTTACACCCTTGGAGCTGGCTGTGTTTCAGTATTTCAGTACTGAGAACACCTCTGCAGGGCATTCACGAGGGTCATGAGGGACTGAGAACAGAGTGTTACAGTGTGTTACATGTGTTTCAATATGTTTTGGCATTATCTAGATAAAATTCCTGTACAGTGATTGATTTTGTGTTTCTGTTTATGTATGTATGTATGTATTTATTTATTTGTTTGTTTATTTACCAGATCCAGGGTTTAACATTGAGAAGACGTCAATTGCAGAGCAGGAAACACATGGTCAGTAATTGCTCATAATAATTGCTGTTGAGTTTATTGTTGCTATTGATAAAAAAAAATGGAGATGCACAGAAGTACCTGTCCAATACAGCACGAACAGATACTGATGGAGATTTAGCCTAAAGTGTCGTTTTGACTGAAAACTTCAAATCAGTACAATCTATGCGATGCAAAGAGAGTAGCATTGTTTACCACAGTGACTGTAGATTTTAAGGATCAGCTGTTATGGCCCCATCGACATGGAGGGCTACATGCTTTTTATTTCAGTGTTTTCACAAACACATTGGCAAGATTGATTGACTGACAAACAGGCTTATTGATTGATTGATTGATTGATTGATTCATTTATTTATTCATTGTTTTACTGTATACAGTGTTAAACCAGGAAACTCCCGTGAAGAGCAGGATGGGACCACGGCAGAATTCAGGTAATAATAATAATAATGATAATAATAATGGATTGGATTTATATAGCGCTTTTCAAGGCACCCAAAGCGCTTTACAATGCTACTATTCATTCACTCTCACATTCACACACTGGTGGAAGCAGCTACGGTTGTAGCCACAGCTGCCCTGGGGCCGACTGACGGAAGCGAGGCTGCCATATTGCGCCATCGGCCCCTCTGCCCAACACCCGGGGATCGAACCGGCGACCTTCCGGTTACAGATGCGCTTCCCATCTGTAACCGGAAGTTGGGAAGTTGGGAAGTTATTGCTCATAATAATTTCAATTCAGTTTAGTGTCGTAACCAATAACCATCTCTTAGGGATCAACTGTCATGGCCCCATCGACATGGAGGGCTACATGCTTTTTGCTTCAATGTTTTTAAAAACACATTGGCAAGATTGATTGACTAACAGGCTTATTGATTGTCTAATTTATTGATTGATTGATTGATTAATTCATTCATTTATTCATCCATTTATTGACTATTTTACTATATACAGGGTTAAACCAGGAAAGTCCCGTGGAGAAGAGGGTGGTAGCACACCAGGAGTTAGGTGGTTAGTAATTGCTCATAACAATTAAAATTCAGTTTATTCTTGTAACCAATAACCGAAAATGTCCAGAATAAATAAAGATATGAAACAACACAACCAGTGCAATGAGATTAGCCCTGTTTACGACAGCGACTAGATCTTAGGGATCAACTATGAATAGTTGTATTTGTATATCCAGTTGAGGCTTTTGCCTTAGCTGCCATCATCTAATTATCTATTATTTTTAAGTGGTGAAATTAGAGTCTTAAAGCCATTAAGATGCAAAATATTACAGGGGAAATTAGTGACAAGACTGTTGTCATCTTCATAAAGGTTTAAAAAAAATAACAAAGTTATTCCTCTACCAAAAATTTTTTTAGCACTTGATCACTTGAAAACTGCATCACAGACTGGGGTTTGAGATGGTCCTCTGGTAGCTCTAGAGCCTGGTACAACAGGGCTAATGCACCATATTCACAGTAGGTCTTGAGCAAGGGTTAAATTGGGATTTGAAACTTCTTAGAGTACTTATTATTTGTGAATAGTGGTCAATATTTTAGTGGGTGTTTAGCCTACTGTATAGTACATCTACCACTGAATGTATTCATATTAACACATTTCAGTGCAAAATTAGTTCATACTGTTAGCACCTGTACAACATAACCAGCAAGAAGTGTATAAACTATGCATGATATTGTTTAAGTCAAACCAAATGCTAATCGTTACTGTGTAGTTAAATGTGACTGAGCTCAAGACGCTGGCAGCTCCCATTTAAATCCAATGAAAGGGGGACAGAAACACCATGTTATAGTGTGTTAGATTTGTGATATGTATTCATAAACATCTGATAAGAAATTCCCATTCCGAGAATAATTTTGCATTTCTTTATTGATCCACGGTATTTGTTAATTTTATTTCATTTATTTTTTTAGCACCTCTGTCAAACGACGAAAATAAAAGCGAAGATGGTTGGTATTCATTCATAACTATTATGGTTGAATTTATTGTTGTATCCAAACTAAAAATGTCCTGTGTATGTACAAAGTTAGCATTGCAATCAGGGGCTAGTAAGGTGTAGTTTGGTTTTCATAAAACATTCTTCTCATTTCTCTTGTCTCTCTATTGGAAGAAGGCTGTCGGTTCAGTGCCTTGCTCCCATGACAAGGTGCTGAACTGACTTGTTTTACAAAAGCTTAATCACTAACCTTGCGGCAATATGACAGAAATGTGGGAACAGCAGATTTTCCTGAAGCAGCTTCTCAGTTCCCTCCTGAAATGTGAAAACTCAAAAGTAGTATAATCATTTATATACTTGCGAAGGGTGAAAGACTCCTCTTTAGTACTCTGTTATTAGCAGCTTCTTCAAGTTGAAGCAAGTAAAGGGCAAGGATGATGTCACAGACATATACAGACAGGCAGTGCAGAAGGAGATAACAGGGTTGTTTGAGTGTGGATAAAATCAAAGATCAGGTTGTGAAAGAGCTGGAGAAAGTGTTTGTCTCTCTCTCGCTCTCTCTCTGTGAGATATTTTATCGCTCTGATGCTATAAAAGTATCTTTGCCATCTTTGTAACTGTACATAAGGGATGTTTCATACAATCTTGTGTATGCATGAGCGTGTGTGTGTGTTTGTACAGTCTAGTTAGGACAGAAACTTTAGAACTCTTAATGCCCCTGAGGTTACAAGTCACTGTAAAGAGAATAATCTCACCTTTCTTCTTTTTTTCCACTTTGTCATTTCAGCAACAATGCTTTACATGCATCATTAGAGCATTTAAATAATACCTTCTCTCTCCTTTCTTGTCTTTCTGTCTCTCTTTAGTGCCTGCTTTGGGTGCCTCAGGGAGTGATGGTAAGGATTTAATTTTTTCTGTTTGTCTTTGAGATCAAAAATACGCATGATAGCAAAATATTACAGTGCAAATCCTAGTCAAATACCGTACATAGGATCGTAGCCGCAGCAGCACAAATAGGCCCAATGTGGTTCTGAAACAGACAGGATATTACTGGCATGCCTTTGTCAATGCAAACAGGATACAAGAGTCACAGAGAAATGCCTCTCTCTCGTGTTTGAAGCTGGTCTTTAGGGGTGTGTCACATCGAATTTTATTGGAAATAACAGTAGAATTAAATGTTCATATCAAAGCAGATGAAAGGATACAAACAGTTTACCATGAACAACTGAATGTGATGTTGTTGTGTTGCTAACTTTTTGTGTGTTCTCTCTTCTTTACAGCAGATCAACAGCCCCAAAGTGAGTTCTCTCCTCTGTTTTCCTATTTTAAAGTAACAATCCACGTGTGCCACAAACCTACATGTAACTTAGTTGGCTAAGACTCTCAACCTTTCACCATAATCTCTTTCCATATTCACTGATCAAAAATCTATTCAGTTCCCAACCTGCACACATACACATGAGCATTACTCATTTGTAGCATTGCTAAATATTCACTGACTTCTGGGGCTCACAGCGTCCTGAGCACCACTTCTGAAGTCTGTGTGCACAAGACACAGACTTCAGAAGTGAATCGCTGCTGGGCCAACTATGACTTCACTGTGATGATTATTACCAGAATGTTTTGGTAGCAAATAATTCAAGCCCCACAGCAACACCCTAATTACAACCCCATTATTGATCGGGTCATCTCAGTCACTTTTAATTATAGTCTGTTTACATTGTCTTTCTAACACTACAGTTAAATTTTGGAGTTTTGCCTCTATGCACTGCTCAGTGGATTTTAAATTAAAGAGTCAGACTTTTAATTTTGAATTAGAAACATTTTTATACATAGGTCCTATTTTTAGAGGCTCACAAAGACTGTTTTTATTACTTGGGCGATAATCCTTTGAAGTTAGTGACTGCCTAAAGCCCCGAATCCATGGACATCACCAAATGTCACATTACTTGAGATGCTGTGCTTGGTCTTTACTGAAGCTACTCTCAGTTGCTGCTTTTTTGTGGGTATTTCTGCATTTAGTTCTGTCGTCAGTAACTGAAAATCATGCTCTACTGGGTTGATATCAGGTGACTGACTTGGCCCTATCGAATTTCTTGCCTTGAGAAACTCTTGGGTAGCTTTGCAGTATGCTTTGTGTTTTTATCTATTTGCACTGTGACGGGCTATCTCATCAGTCACATCATCAGTAAATACCAGTGGATCCGTTCCCCTTGGTAGCCATACATGCCTTTGGATCATGAGCTGTTTCTCTTTTACTCCATGCTTTCATAGTACTAGTTCAGCTTTATTTAATCTGTTCCATGTTTGTCAGAACTCTGCAGGCAGTTTTAGATGTTTTCCAGCAAAGCTAATCTGGCATTCTTGTTCTTGAGAATAACCAGGGCTTCACACCTTGTTGTAAATGCTGTGTTCGTGAAGGCATTTCTTGATTGTAGACCTTGAGAAAGGCGCACCTACTTCCTTGAGAGTGTTCTTGACTTGGCTAGATGTTGTAAAGTGTTTTCATTAACCAAGTATAGTGGCTTCGATTGACTGTAACAGGTTGTAATTCCGAAACAGTTAATGCTTTGAAGTCAGCATTTCAATCGCATATTGATTGTTCAATTTAGAATCCATTGTAGTGGTAAAGGGAGGTAAAACTTTAATTATTATGTGTAGTCAAGTAGCTTTGGTAGGTTTGATGGTTAAACCTTCCTTTCAAGTTTAAAAAACATCTAAGAATAATTTTATAAAAGAAGCAAAAGCTGTAGAATCTACCAAATGGATTCAAGGTTTAACTCACAAGTGCCCAAATGTTTAATTACAGGAGCGACTCTAAAACATATTTCGATGATAGTCAGTGTCATTTAGTATTATTTCATGTCAATGCCTCTGTTCAAGAAACAGTTGTGTCCCAGCTGTATGTGATGCGTTTATGCGCATTCATGCTCATACACGTCAGTTTCCACCCACCTTTACTTCCTTTTTCTGACTCACTATACTCTCCGGTTTCATTCCACTTAATTTAACTGACTAATTCCCACTTTTTATTCGTCTCACTTTTCTGACTCATGCCACTCCCTTGCTTTTCTCGCCGTGAGCTCTGGATCTCCTGTCCTCTTTTATTCTTTTTTTTTTCCGAACTTGTCTTTTATGCCTCAACATCAATTTCACCCCTGTAGCGCTGAAAGTCTCGCTGTCGACTCAGGCCACAACAAGACAATAAAAGCCTCGCCTTTAAGTTGGAAACACAACAGCATGAAATCATGTGCCAGATATATGTAGTGTTAGTGTAGCGACCTATTACAATGAGTTTGATGGGGTTACTTAAACCTTTTTGTTTGTTAAAAACATTATTTAGATGCACAATTAATTACATTTACTCACAATTTAGCCAATTTAGTGATGTATGTGCCAGTACCTATACTTGGTGGTGTGCTGTCACACAGCATGAAAACTATTCATTTTGGTGTTGTCATAGTAACTGGGTTACAGGTGCAGACAGATTTCTGTGAATGCTCACTGTGAATGCTGTGGGAAGTTTAAATGACAGACGAATGAAAAGGAATCAGAAAATTCTGGAACGAGATGATGCAGCCTCGCTCTCTCACTTACACACACACACACACACACACACACACACACACACACACACACACACACACACACACACACACGCACACACACACACTGTTGCTTGCTCTTCATCTCTCCTTCCCTTCCCCCTGTCTGTCTCACACATACACACATAATTCACACATTATGTCATGTCAGTGAGCTTCTTTGCTAAATTGATATTCATTCTTTCAACTGCAAAATGGCACCCAGTGCTGACACTCAGTGTTACAGTTACAGTTGTTATAGATGGATTTTCACAGATCACATTAATGCTCAGACCAATAGGTTTACAGTTCCAGTGGCATGTTCATAGGATACTGCTGAACTTGACTGCACATTCTCTGCTGTTATGACTTATCTTTATTTGTCTCTTTGTTTGTTTGTTGTGCTACAGAGGCCAGCTCAAGCTCTTTAGCAGCAATCCTTAGTGCGATTGTTGTGTCTGCAGTGGGAGCAATCGCTGGATACTTCACCTATCAACAGAAGAAGCTGTGCTTCAAAAATAGACAGGGTAATTATCTGATCCTTTTGTTGCTGGTGGAAAACTAATTAATAATAATAAATCAAAGGGAAAACTCAATTTATACAGTAGCTACCTTAACTGCTGTACGCAAGGTTTGGTATTTGACCAGACAAGAAATTCTTCTTGACCCTCATCAACAATGAATGAAGTGTATGCCAAAATTGTGTTTGTTGTTCAGTTTGGTGCCCACATTAGCAACAGAAGAACTGCTTATGTCCAAGCTCTTTGAAATGAATGCCAACCCCCATCAGAGCTTCAGATCTGTTAAGCTTTAATGACGCTACAAAAGAAAATTATTCATCTTTTATCTGAATCTCCGCTTTAAATCAAGTTTCATCCTAACTGTGTCCAGTGGGCAAGGTGTGTGTTTGTTACTTGTAGTCCTAAAAGCACGGGTTTTCAAGTTTACCAGTTCTTTTAAATTCAGCTTTTGGCTCCCTTTCATGAACTGTTGTCAGTGACATACGACTCACACCATCCTCGCATCCTGCATCCTATTACTGCCAGTTCAGCAAAGTTTTCATTTGCAGTCAACATGAGTAATAGGGCATCCACTTATAGCAGTGCAGGCCAGTAGTCAGATTCAAAGTAACTCTTATAATTTGAGCATTTAGAGTAATAGACAATATGTGTTTTTAATTTGATTAAACATATTTAGACATGCAGTTTTCCTCTGTAAAGAGCAGAGGTAGTAATTGCAGCTAGTTTCTGCTTCACTAACAATAATTTAAAAGACTTCACGAATAGGTATAAGTTTTCCTCTGTGACACAAAAAATAAGAAACTAATTTTCATGGTTTGGATAATATGCAATTACCCCAAGAAATCAAGATCCTTAGAAATTCACACTTCTGTACAGCTGGTGAAGCAGTTTCACACTGAAGGAAGATGAACGCTTTTCCTCATATTTGAGAGAAGGGACGCAATAACTTGATGCTAATTAGTAGAAACATTATTAAGCTAAATCATAGACTGTATACAAAGGATGGGCATATCCACCATGATGTCACAGATTCACAGATTGCGAATCTTAATTTTGAAACCTCAACTTTAATAGTATAGCTGTATAGCTGTATAGGAGTTCTGCATTTTGATCTTGATTAACTTGGGTCCAGTTCAGTTGTTTGAGTCAGCGAAAGTGAAGCCTAGCAGACAGGCGGTAATACAGTAGTGCTCACAAAGCTGTCCTTTTTCATGCAAACTATAAGCCTTGTGGGGATCTATGAGCATATATTCACTTTTAATTGTAGCCTTAAGGAATTGCAATTTTTTTGGGCAATTGCATGTTGGCTTCATTTTTTCTGCTCTGGAGGTTGTTGCTTAAATACTTGCGAAATTCAACTTGGCAGTACAACCTTGCAATTGAGCAATGAGTTCCCACGTTTGTTTTATTCGCTTTTCTCTGACTGTCAATCTTTGTGACTAGAAGCAGACCCTGAGGCTCCACACAAAGCTGATGCAGCAGAGGCTCGGTCAGATCCCCAGGGTATGACAAACACACACACACACACACACACACACAACGAAAACGCAAAGAACACATTTTTGATATAAATATTCACATGTAATACTTTAAACGTGTTAACCATTAATCTATTTTTTTCCTCCTTTCTTTATTTACAGTTCTTAGCAACCTTCTGAACTCCTCCTAGACCTGAAACGATCACCTTACCGCCCGGGCCAACTACAGTCTAACAAAGTGGCAATCTCACTGTTCGGCTCTGTCCTCTGTAGAGCTAAATTACTGTGAGGCCCCAGAGTAGGGCTGCGTGTTTCAGTCTGAATTTCTATGTCTGTATGTTGCTCTACACGAGCTTGCGTGGATGTGTCTCAGTGTGCGTGTGAATAATATCCGTTCATTCTTGTGTGTGCATAAATGTGGAAAGAAGGAGCTAGAAAAAGATCATGTGATCTTTAGGGCTTTCATTATTGTTAAAAAAATGTATTAAAATAATTGGTCAAACACTCTACTTTAAACCAAATTATTATAATTTTTTTCAGAGTGGCCATTAAAGAGATTTAATCTCAATTTACGTATAACCATAAAATGGATGAATTATATACCTACCTTTTAATTTTATTTATATGGCTACTATTAATTCAATGTAAATACAAAACAGTAACTGAAATCGATGTTGTAGGTGTTTAACTTGTAATTGTTTCTTTGGAATTTTATACAATTTTGCCATTGTTGAACTGCCCGTATGATTTTAAATCATTTAGATAAGACATTTCTTTTTCAATTATCTATAGTACAGATGCAGGTTAACTGGATAACAGGGGGACACAGTAGCAAGCATTTTGTGGAGTCTGGTTAGGAGCTGTGGTAAAGGATTTAAAGACGAGTATTCTTGGGATGCGTGGTCAAATGTGTTTAGATGACCACCGATGTCACTGAATGTGTGTGCTTGTTTTCTGATAGGTGAAGGGGCTTGATTTAAAATCCTGTTAAGTGACCGTTTCTCCTCGGTCGGTTGAATACATTAAAAGATGACACAAATCAAATACAGCCTAAGATTCAAGTCATATTAATTTAGGAAATACCAAAAACAAGCCAACAAAAATATATTGTGTAAACTTACTAAAGTACGATGAAGTAAAGTCTAATCCTGACATGGACAAATTCAATGGAGGTCATGTAGTAATGTATTAGACTTTGTTCTGATGTAGTATGTGTGTAGTTGTGAAGCAGTCTTTTTTTTTTTCTCTATAGTGCCTTTCACTGACACAGCCTGGCTTGAGCAATCTACAGACACACAGAGAAGATATACAGGGTGACAAATTAAAGGATGGTTTATGCTGCAGGGAGATTTTTTTGTTGCTGTTTCAAATTTCAAATTTCTGAGCTATTCTAAATTTAAAACATTTCACTTTGATGCCTGAAGTCTCTTACAAGATGAAAATACACCCATCCAAATTGCCTGTTTAATTGCTTGGTAAGAATGAAAATAATGGGATCCATAAACTATGGACTTATCAGTCTGAGATCTCCCCCCAGGTCTCCAATAACGTTATCAAAATACATAATGAGGGAATATTTTTTCAGAAGAATATTGTTTTATTCCTCCAATAGTTCCAGAGACATGAACTGGCTTAACACTTTAAACACCCTTAATGCTGGGTCAACCTTTAACTTTTTACCCATCTGTTACTGAGAAGACAAGCAAACCAGTAGGAGGCTATAACAATGAAAGAGTGTTCTGTATTCATTCTTAATCTGTCATTTACGCAATTACATTTTTTAAAATTAAACTGCTCATGCATGTAAAATAATAACACAAACATAACAGCTGCTGTATGTGTGTCCACAGTCGGGCCGTTTACAGTCTTAGTTATTTTAGCTAATCTTGCAATCTAAACTCTTTCAACCACCTCCGCTGGTGGCAGATGTAAAACTCTTCTCATTGTGTGTCTCTTTATTTGAACAAGCCAGCTGCTGTAACAGTGTATTTTTATTGTTCATGTATCCACATTACAAACGCCATTCACTTGTGATTTTTTTATAGGAATCCTTTACATTTAGCAGCCGTGCCTCGGAGCCGACAGATTGTCTTTAGTCAACTTGTTTGCTGTGCTATTTTGTTAATATTATTGTAAAATGCAAAGAATGCAGCGCTACGGCTTTTTTCCAAATGTAGCACACACACAAAAAAATCGTAACTTCTGAATGTCTTTTTTGTTGCCTTGAAGTTTTGTACTTGCCCTGCTCCCTTTAAACTTTGATATATGGCTATAGAGGCTGCATAGTGCTGCAGGTCATGTAATGTGTGTTACTTGTAAAGCACCATATAGCTGCAATACAGGACAGAGACTGTTGCTAACAGCCTAGCCTCAAGCTGAGAAATGTTAATAATCTGTGATCAATTCCACTCTACAAACTGTGGGTCAGACGCAGTGTCAGCGATCTGCCTTCTTAACCTGTAATCTGTGACAGACAAAAGCTGTTTTCTCTTGTAACACTGAACTACGTAGATAGTGTATCAGGAGTGACAATGCACAAAAAATACCCACTCAATAATAATAATACAAATAGGACTAGCCACCGATGCCTTCAAAATACAAATTTTTTCTTTAAATGCAGTACTGCCCTGCAGTGAACAAAAGCACTGAAATGTCCTGCGATGCTCTTTTAGATAACTTCCTGTAATGGAGACTCGTACAATAATCCAGAAAAATTCGATATGCGTTGCTTGCACTGAGGACATCATGGTCAACAATACATTTTGCCGAAACACTCTCGGTCAATAATTCAGTCTTATTTATATTATATCAATTCACAACTACAGTCACCTCATGGTGCTTGATCCCAGCAATACAAAGTATCAGAACACAGCATTCAAACCAGAATGTAAACCTTGAGTGTTGTAAACTCATTGGGTCCTGAAGTGCACTTGCCACATAACACTAGGGCATCAATCATGGCACTGACCAGTCCTGCCTTATTCCTTATATGCTCTTGAATATTCCTGATAGGAAAACAAACAATAATGTCATCATAAAAAAACGACACAGCGACACAAGCAGAGATTTTTTTTGTAATCTCAATGGGAGAAGCACGTTCCTATCCTGTATACATCTTGATTTACTACACATATATAGACAATTCATTTGTTCTTCTTCTGACTTCCTGTTTATTTAAATATTCTGTGTGGTTTTTGTGTAGGAACTGTCCTTTTTATTTTTGTCATCTGGCACTTGTGTTCTTCTGGAGTTGTGTAAATAATGTTTGAGGAATCAATTAAACAGTTTTTGTGGGATTTCTTTTTCTTTCATTTTTAGCCACTGTTGATAGACCAGTTCATCACTTTGGTATACATCAAAAACTCTTCAGTGATGTAATGGATTATTGTAGAACGGACATTCAAGGTCACCAGAAGATTAATTGAATTAGCACCATCTAAAGTTATTGTAGTTTGACAATTACTTTGGTTTATGCCAAAATACATTAGTATTTAGATTTCCCATTAGTCAAAGCAGTGTTTGTTTTTATTGCTAATTCTAAAATGTATGTTTTGTTTGTTAATGTGCTCAAATCTAATGGCAAACATGTAGACTGGCCACTTCATCTGGTACACCTGTTAACACAAATTTCTAATCAGCCAATCACATGCTGGAAACTTAATTTATTTAGGAATATAGACATGGTCAACATGACATGCTAAAATTCAGAGTGTCAGAATGTAAAAGAAAGGTGATTTAAGATACCCTTTTGGTGTCAGACAGTCTTGTCTGAGCATTTCAGAAACTCAGAAACACCGCAACCATCTCTACGGTTTACAGAGAATGGTCCAAAAAAAGAGAAAAGTTCCAATCAGCAGCAGTTCTCTGAGTGAAGATGCATTATTGATGTCAGAGATCATAGGAGAATTGCCAGATTGCTTTGAGGTAATAGGAAGGCAACAGTAACTCAGATAACCACTTGTTACAACCAAGCCACACAGAAGAGCATCTCCAAAAGTGCAATTTATCTGCAATTTAACAGCAGAAAAACACACTAGGCGTTGCTGCTGTCAGCTAACAACAGTAAAGTGAAGCTAGGATTCATGTAAGCTCACCAAAACTGGACAATGAAAACTGAAACTGAAAACATGGATCTATCCTGTCTTCTAACAACTGTTCAGGCCAAATGGTGGTGTTATAACGAATATAATATTTCCTTGGCACAGTTTCAGCCCTTAATACCTACTGAGAATCACTGAAATCCCACAGCCTGCCGCAGTATTGTTGCTGACCATGTCCATCCCTTTATAACTAGTGTATACATCTTCTGATGGCTGCTTCCTGCAAGGTAACAAATCATTTCACAAAGTTCAGATCATCAGAAACTAGTTTCTTGAACATGACAATAAGTTCAATGTACTCAAATGGCCTCCACAGTCACCAGATCGCAATCCAATACAGCACATTTGGCATGTGGTGGAACGGCAGATTGTTGTCATGGATGTGCACCCAACAAATCTGCAGCAACGGCATGATTTTATCATATCAGTACGGACAAAAATCTCTGAGGAATGTTTCCAGCATTTTGTTGAATTGATACCACAAAGAATTAAGGCAGCTATGAAGGCAAAAGGGGGTCCAACTAGTAGTAGGGTGTACCTAATGAAGTGGGCAGGGAGTGCAATTTTGTATGGTAAACACCAATGCCCTATGGGTCTTATGAGCATGTGGTTGTGACCAATGAGTAAGCTTCAATTACTGTTATTTTACCATACATACGATATAAATACAGTAAAAGTTATTCTATTTTGTGTTTGTGGCTTTTTGTGTATGTGATCTGTCGAAAAGTTAATAAAGTTCAGTGAGAAAAAAAAATCTAAGATATGTAAGGTATTTATAGAAGGACAGCCACACAATAATAATTCTCCCGTTGCAACTGATTTATTGTGACAGGTCTATAAAGACACACCTGATCAGTTTCTCAGAGATAGAATGTGGGAAGTTCCATAATGTTTTTGTTGGTAAGCCAAACACACCTATCTTCATGAGCACATTTGGTACCCCCCCCCCCCCCCCCCCCCCCCCCAAGGCATTACGCCCACACCAACCGTAAGCCGTCCAATTAAACAAAGCAGTGAAGGTGACTATGGAGACGAGGTAGTGACTAATAGAGTTTGCGCCCAACAAGTTAATCAGGTAGAATGATTTCTCATGAAAGGTCTTGTTTTGGTATCGAGATAAAATGAGTCATGAAAAATACAAGAGAATAATTTAGTGTAAAAATATCCCTCACAAATAGATGTTCTGAGGTATAACAAATGCCCTATAAGTCCATGAGTTTATTATATACTATAAAAGAGCTATAGTTGTGTTTTTGACATCTATTTCCCATTATAGTTTGCAACATGTTGCATTTCCATAACACTTAAACCACTTAATTCTTTAAACTGGACTGAATAACTATTCATTGATCATAACTTTGAAAAAATAATAGTAGATAAAGATATGTAAAAAGTACGGAGCCCCGCAGGGGACATGGCAGAAAAAAAAAATTAAGACGGACTTTTGCGAGATCCCGAGTTTGTTTTGCGAGATCTCGCAAAAGTTCATCGTAATTTTTTTTCTCCCATGTCCCTAAAAAAGTGCACCTTTAAAGTATGAGACAAAAACAAGGGGTGTCGACCAGTAACTTGCAGGCCACAGCAGTTTTTTTGTGCCTTTATGTCCTACATTACGGTACAAATAAAGGTTCTGCGCTCATACTTGAAACAGTACTGTACAGTCAGCGAGGCGGGGCCAACGAATTTAGCTAAGAAGGAACTCCTGTGTTTATGGATTCATGAATGTGAAAGCCCATTATGAGGTGAGTTCGGATGGGAAAAAAATTCTGCTTATCGAGACAACTGCAAATGCAATTGCTCTCACACGAGCTACGGTAAGAGCCCGTTGAAAGAGCTCAAATTAAAACAAAAGATAAAAGGCACCTATCTGATTTCACTTTTGCTCTCCCGACAGTTCGAGCTTCAGAGCAGCAGCACCTATGTGTCACTTTTTTTTTTTTTACACATTTGCCACTGTTGCAAAACACGTATCACAGCAGTAGACGCGTCATATTCTGGATTCGTTTTATAACCAAAACTAAGAATCGTTATCACGTTGATACATTAAGAAAAAAAGGTTTGGTATATAAAATGTAAGACATGTGATCCAAAAAACAAAAAAGAGTTGCACGTCACAAGTGAAATCGCAAGAGAGTCCAAAGTGAAATCGTAAGTTTTATTTGCTCGAAGTCCAAAACCTAATACGGAGTCCAGAAATCTGATGAATTCATATAGGTTTTATTTAAATATCGAATAATCGACGTCTTAATCACCAATGATGATAAAAAATACTAACCTTGGGTTCGGAAAATATGTCAGTGTTTCTTTGACCCCTGATTGTCAAGATATGGGGGGGTCTAAAATCACATATAAGAGAACTTCAGATGTATAACCAGTGTTTTGCTCTCAGGTCTGTCCTGTTGGTTCCTTTTCTCTTCCTGCTCCTGACAACAGGACGTGATGTCACAGGGAAGGGATTTGACCAGAAGCCCAACTTTGTTCTAATGGTTGTTGATGACTTAGGAATTGGTGATATAGGGTGCTACGGTAATGACACCATTAGGTAAGTCTGAAATGTGTGTAGCTGTGTGTTTCGCTCCACTATTCTTTGTTAAGTTTATTTTTTCACCTTTCTAGAATTTCATTACTGGCTAAATAAATTTTAAAGGACATATGCATTTTTAAAAAACCTTCTGTAGTAATTATACACTTTGAAACACTAGCTGATAGTGAGGAACTACAATTGAGGAATTACTTCAGATCCTTTAGTAAACGTTGCAAAGCCACACCATGAGAATGGCCCATAACCCAAGCAAGTAAAGAAGTCAGGCATTTAATAAAATTACAAGTGTCTGAGCACTATTGGGCATTTTACAGTTGTTCTTGATCTCTTTGATGCACTTCAGTCATTTCCCCACCCATGCTAGCCTTTCTCATTGTGTTCGTGCACACTTCTATTGTCTGCACGTGCACTTCACTTCTATTTTGTTATTGTGTTCATGCATTCCTCCTCTGGCTCTGACAGGTCATCAAAGCAGTTTGTCCTTATGTCACTCAGGACTATAGATCTCACACTGACCTTAATGCCGTCCAGCATTGCATTAATGTTTTCAATCCAATGTTTTTCAAATATGTGTGAAAGCACACAGCCAGTCACACACTGTCAGTGGTAATAGTGAAATTGGCCTTCAGTTGAAAGCAAATATAAACATTTTCCTGTTCTCAGTCTTGTATCACAGGTGAATGTCATGGCACTGCTAATTACACACAAGCAAGAACTGTTCTTTGTGTATAGTAATAATGAAACTGAAACAACCAACAAACTTGCAGATGTTCTCTTAAATGTTTCCATATGGCTGAATTAGTCTTGTTTTCAGTTAGTGTGTTTGCTTTTCACCAAGTTGTACAATCTAATGTTTACATATCTGGAGGAAAAAACTGCGGGTTGTAGGCTGTCATAAATATTTGGGAATTGTATTAAACTCTAAACTCTCTTTTAAGTCCGTAATAAAAACGGCATGTAATGTAGTTAAAGTTAATTTTAATCTTCATACCAAATAATATGTCTGTTCATTCAATTTTAAAGCCATTCCAGACTTTATGTAATGTAGCATTAAAAAAAAAATTAATAGGCCATATTGTTATCACCACTGTTTAATTTTACAGAAATACAGCTTTCTTAGTTTTGAAAATGTTGTTAAATACACAAATATTTGTGTGTCTCTAGTTTCTTAAAACTGGGGTACATGGAAACCAAAATAATATAATATTATTATAATATTACGTATGACAGATCCTGGTGGTGTAACTTGCAAAAGCATTCGCTGAAGTTAGCACAACCTGTTAACTAAGTGACTTCTCACGTGTGATCGTTTGAAAGTTCAGTCCCCGCGCCATCATATAAACCCTCTCTTTCAAGTCTTTCCTTGTTAAAGTGCTAAAGGAGTTAATGAGATACTCCTTCACACTACATCCTAAATCCTCATCATCACACATCTTCACAATGGTGATTAGCAGGAAGAAAATCCTGTAGAGGTGATACACACAGTGTGATCTGCTCATTTACTTGCTACTACAATGTGCTAAATGTGTATAATAATATAATACGTGCCATATTGTAACTGATTTCAAAACAGTGCAATCTGCAGCAGGGACAGGCTAAACTAGCACACTTGTCTGTGGCTGATCTCCCATTCCTTTTCAGTCTGAAGAGCAGAATTACCAATAATCTGAATGTGGATCCAGCCAAAAAAAATGTGTCTCTGTTTAAACTTGATAAGACCCTTCATCATATCTGTTCAATGTCTTTAGAACTCCAAATATCGACAGACTTGCTTCTGACGGGGTGAAGCTTACTCAGCACATTGCAGCTGCTCCACTCTGCACCCCAAGTCGTACTGCTTTTATGACGGGCCGTTATGCAATCCGCTCAGGTAACAGACATATTTACGCTCAGTCAGCAAGTGGCAACCTGGACAAACTCCATGTTCCATATTTGATTAACCTTTTTTGTTTTTTGTGCATGTGTGCATCTATTGACTAGGAATGGTCAGCACAGGGCGTGTCCAGGTGCTGCTGTTCCTCGGAGGTTCAGGAGGGCTTGCACCCAGTGAGACCACCTTTGCTAAGAGACTGCAGCAGCAAGGATACACTACTGGTCTAGTGGGTGAGATGACATAATGTGCTATGGCCCTTTGGAAAATTGCACTTAAAGGTCTGCACACCGGGGATGTTTTATTGAGCACAAGAAGGGAATTTGTGATGACATCAGCATTTCCTCACTTTACCAGTGAAAGTGAGAAAAGGTTGATGGCACTCGCAGCACTTGAAATTCATATGGTTTGCATTTGGTATGCACCGTAACTCATCTGAAGAAACATACCCAGGATTTATGGTTCTGGTATCTCATCTCTCTATATCTCATTTTCATTGTATATCTACAGGTAAATGGCACTTGGGTGTGAATTGCAAACACAGAGAGGATCACTGTCATCACCCGAACCAGCATGGCTTCAGTTACTTCTATGGTCTACCATTCACCCTGTTCAATGACTGTGTGCCTGGAGAGGGCAGCGACGTGCTGGTAGATCTCCAGCACGCGCTCCAAAATTTGACCATGTTGCTCGGAGTTGGACTTCTCACAATCGTAAGTGTGATTTTTCTGTCAGTTTATCTTTGTTTTCATCTGCACACATTCTTTTTTCATTTATTAATCCTTTATTTATCCAGGTAAAAATCTCACTGAGATTAAAAATGTCATTTCCAAGAGAGACCTGGCATGATCATACAATTATAATCGTAACAAGAACAACAAGATCATAATGAGGTACATTTTATTTTAAAGAAGTCTCACAGAGGCATATTTACTGAAAAGAATGGAATTATAAGAAATCCTGAGGGATACAACATCCTTGTTAGACGATGAGTAAGAAACTGGAAAACAAAGAGTCGTTGTGCTAGTTGCCCCAAAGCAAAATTAACTGATGTGTGTAATCACTTAGACATGTGCTTAAGAGGTTGGAGGAAAAAAAAAACACAAACTGGAAACACAAACTGCAAATGTGAAATTCAGTTACGCCGCCCAGAAACTTATTCTAGAAAAAAAGAATAACGTCATTATTGAAATTTGGTTAACACATGAACGTTTATTGATGCTACCTCACCTGCAGCATTGGTATTCCCAGGAGAAACCAGGGGGTACCAGTTAGCTGTGTCATTAAAAATGATTAAAAGCAAATACAAAAACCAGGAACCACTTCATCCTCGTCAAATGTTAACAAATACAACTATTTTCTATTTTCTGTTCTAGTGTGAACAAAGGACACAATGTACTACTTGTTTCACTAAGGGAAAATAATAAACTTTCATGGTAGTTTCTGATGCCATCTAGTGGTTGTATCATGAAGTTGCACAAAAGTAAATTAATAGAGAAGGGTCCCAGGAGTAATATCTGTACAATAAAATGTCTGTTATGAAGAAAATATGGTTAAATGTTAGAGAGGACTGAGTCAGTTATATATAATCTCTGAAGTTGTAGTTGGTAATCAGGTGTTGCTGGCAAACATTACATAGCGAGTACCTAATTACCTGAGTACCTAATCTGTTCTCCTGCGTATAGAACCTAAGGTGAGAAAACCACTATAAAATCAAAAGGCTTTCTAAAAACACTAGAAGTAAACCGGGAATAACTGTGAACATTGTCATTAGGGAAGAACAAACAAACAGACAAATCTTTCTGAATCCAGCCTTTGTGTGTCTATGTGCTACATGTTTTCAGGTGTGTGCCCGTGTGTGTGGCCTTTTTGAAGTCGGCCTGTGGCTCCTGGTACTACTTTTCTTTCTCTGCATCCTAGCAACCGCTGTGTGGTATGTGCCCTTTAAGTTCTTGCCAACATGGAACTGCATCATTATGAGGAACCAAGAAGTAATCGAACAGCCGATGACCGTGGAGACACTGCCCCAGAGATTGCTGGGAGAAGCACAAAACTTTATAAAGAGGTAAAAGTGGTGGAGCAAAACAAATAATCACATGGCTTTTGTGCAGAGACTTTTACTGGTAGTCTTTTGTTTGCAGTCTTATCAAGGAAGTTAACCTTGATATGATGGTTATGTTAGAGTTACAGCTGATTGATCTCCAACAATACTAATAATTTTCTGTTTCCCTTGTGAGGAAATTAACCTTAACATTTGAACTCAGACTGACATCAGTGCACGTTCAAATGATTCTTACTAATTAGGACGTCCCTACCCTCACCTATGGCCACGAGCTGTGGGTAGTGACCGAAAGAACTATGGAATAAGAACGAGATCGCGGATACAAGCGGCAGAAATGAGCTTCCTCCGAAGGGTGGCTGGCCTCTCCCTTAGAGATAGGGTGAGAAGTTTGGCCATCCGGGAGGGGCTCAGAGTAGAGCCGCTGCTGCTCCACATCGAAAGGAGCCAGCTGAGGTGGTTCGGGCATCTGACAAGGATGCCCCCTGGGCGCCTCCTGGGTGAGGTGTTCCAGGCATGTCCCACCGGGAGGAGGCCCCGGGGCAGACCCAGGACACGCTGGAGAGATTATATCTCTCGGCTGGCCTGGGAACGCCTTGGTGTTCCCTCGGATTAGCTGGAGGAGGTGGCTGGGGAGAGGGAGGTCTGGGCCTCTTTGCTTAGGCTGCTGCCCCCGCGACCCGGCCTCAGATAAAGCGGATGAAGATGGATGGATGGATGGATGGATGGATGGATAGGACATTCATTATTTCAGATAGTTATTACAGGGATCATTACCAAAATAAATCGTATCAAAAGAAATCATAAAACAGGATCTATAAAAAAATAGTACACAAACGGTTGTACGGACTAGCAACTAGTCATTTTTATTTTTTTTATTTTCTGTATGAAAACAAACTAAAACACTGGAAAAAGATGCAAGTTTATAAACTCATAAACTGATTCGCACCAGAATAAATGAACTCTGGGTGTGAAAACGCCCTAAGATTCTTGTGTGTGTGGACCTGTGTTGTTTTGATTCACTTGAACTGTTTTCAACTCATTGAAGCCATTTAAAAAAAAAAAACTATATAGAGCATCAAATGTCACACAGACAATGCTAGTGGCTTAGTTTGCATCAGACTTCAGCTTCACAGGGCAATTTATGTGAGTGGGATTAGATCATTGTTGGTTATGGTTGACAATGACAGGAAATTGCTTGTCCCCATTGCCATGACAAGAAAACAGGCAATAATTAAAAAGATAAAAAAAGGCCTTTGAGAGAGTGTTCAACTCCTTTTTGCTGCTCTTTAGGAATGTGGATCGTCCATTCCTCCTAGTCTTCTCATTGGCCCATATCCACACGCCAATGTTTAAAACACCACAGTTTGCTGGCAAAAGTCGGCATGGTGCCTACGGTGACAACCTAGAAGAAGTGGACTGGATGATTGGTGAGTGAGGGTGGTGAAATAAGTGTGCCACCATGTGCATGCAATGTTAAATATTATCCAGTGGCTTGTAGCTTTGTGGCAGTCAGCAATCCATGTTTTTATAATCACGACAAAATATGGCCAAATGTATGAAAGCAAGATCTCAATGAATCAGTTGCTCTGCACCAATTAGGAATCTGTGCAGTTCTTAATTTTCCTTTGAAATCAACCTCATCCTATTATCTTACTATGCCGCTTGTCTTTTTAGGTAAAATTACAGAGACGGTGGATTCCCTTGGCATTGCCAACAATACTCTCATGTACTTTACATCCGATCATGGTGGGCATCTGGAAGATTCTGATTCACGAACTGGGCAGAAAGGAGGCTGGAACGGCATCTATAAAGGTAAACAATGTGTCAAGCTGTTTTTTTGCTGATATTAAATTGCAAACTTTAAAGATTTTATAGCAGGCATTCAGACATTTTTGTAGAATTTTAAATCTCATGCGTACTATTGACAAACAAAACCAAAAAAAAATCACATCTCTGTGTTTTATTATATCTCCTGTTGTTTCACATGTAGGTGGGAAAGCTATGGGAGGCTGGGAAGGGGGGATCAGGGTACCTGGCATTTTCCGCTGGCCAGGCAGGCTGAGAGCAGGAAAAGTGGTGGATGAACCCACTAGCCTCATGGATCTGTATCCCACCCTTAAATATTTAGCCAAGGACAAACAACCAGACAGGTATATCAATTCCCACAAGTGCTTTTTAAATTGTGTGTAATTGTATTAACTGAGTCTTGTTTCTTTCCTGTTTTCTTGAAAAGGTTAAAACAGTTTCCGATTGTATTTTACCCCATCGTTCTGACCTCTTTTTTTCTTGTGATTCTATTCCAGACAATCCGATGGCTATAACCTCATGCCGCTGTTGGAGGGGGAAGTTGCACGATCAGAGCACGAGTTCATGTTCCACTACTGTGGCATCTACCTGAATGCAGTGCGCTGGCACCCACCTGGCAGTAAGTTTGCACATATATAAACCTAGAAGATCAACATTTTTGATTCTTTATTCCTTATTTCTTGTTACAGTTAGGGATATTAATGCCAAAAATTCCCAAAGTTTTTAAATAATGTGATCTGTAAATATAAACAAAATAAATTTTAGTGCTCAGTAACAAAAACTTGAAATAGAAAACAGCACTCAGAGACCTCAATTGCTCCCCGAAGGGCAAAGGCTATAATAAAACATTGATGCTTTATCGCAACATGCTGACATCAGCCTGTTTTTTATTACCACGTGATGGGATTAGCCTACAGTAGTAGCAATAGCTGACGGTGTGTCTGGTGTTTTGGCTAAAGGATAAAATAAGTACATCCATATTATATGTGCTCTTATTATGTCTTATATTGTAAGCTGAATAAATACAGTGAGGGACATAAAAAACTTCTTTCTTATTTCTTAGTGCAGCAAAAACTTTGTCCCACTTCAGAACATCAACTTTGCACAGTTCATCAGTTCATATACAAACCTTCCCTAATATTTGTGTTAGACTCATTAAAATAGATGCTTCAGTGATTGTTTTGGCCTTTAGCTGGTTCACTGTTCACTGTAGACTGATTAATATCTAAACTCTAGAGCTGCAACCTTTCCAGCTTCATAAAAATCAATGATTGATGACAGTGAGTCTTTCCAAATCAATTTTTGGGATACGTGCGTCACAGCAGAAGATGGTTTTTGTTTTTTGTGTTTTTTATTTATTTTCTTAGTAAATTCCAACCCTGAAATGTTTATTTTTAAAGGTCAAAGTAAGGCTGTTGCAAATAATTACGTGTCATTGGTTGGACTCTTGACTCTTTTTGCTAATTCCTGACTCTAGTTAGTCATTTTTTAATTTGAATAATCTTTTCTATAAGAACAATGTAATGGTTTGTGTGCTACTAGTTCAAATTGATGGTTTTGTCATGATTATGACCTCGATGAAGATTTGACCTGATTTCAGTACATTTCTATATAAAGATAATTTTTAAATATTCACTTTTTGTCTTGCCACTCTATGTTGATATATCTTCACCGATGTGTGTTTCCATACAGGTGACTCTATCTTCAAGGTGCACTTCTTCACTCCCAACTTTTTCCCCCCGGGCGCCGGTGGCTGCTATGACACAAAGATTTGCCTTTGTCATGGAGAGCATGTGACGCACCATGACCCGCCGCTACTGTATAACCTCTTCCACGATCCCTCAGAGTCTCGGCCTCTGACTCCTGATACTGAGCCCCGATATGCTGAAATCCTTGAGCAGACCGCCAAAGCCGTGGAGAGCCATAAAGGCACACTCCCAGATGAACAGGCACCTGCTGGTGCTCATTCAGAGGCCAATAGAGCTGAACAGGGCGTCGAATTGCAACTGACTTGGGACAAGATTTTGTGGAGACCCTGGCTTCAGCCTTGCTGTGGGACTTTTCCATTCTGTGGATGCAAAGAGAACACAACTCATATGTAAGAAAGACAAAAGTTGAAACAAACGACTTTGGTTTCATGAAGGTGCTGTTTAAAAAAATCGAATAAAATAGTTTAATAATTTAATTAGTGCTTTTGTTTTTCATTGGATTTCTAGCATTTTCAGTTTAAAGATACCAATGTTTTGTGTGGAAATGAAGAGAGAAGCTGAAAAATGACTAATTAAATTAATTAGAAATAATCCAGAACCAAGTGTATTAGTGTTGAAGTGGACTAAGGACTCCACACGACTATACCTGTGATACCGTAATCTACATTTTTGGTGCAGTTGAGTCAAGGAAGATTTAGCTATGTAATAATTCAGTGAAGTGAATTAGTGCTTTTAATTTGTATTGGGAAAAGTGGCTTCGTGGTGTAGTGGTTACCACATTCACCTTACATGCAATGAGACAAGTCCAGCTTCACGGGGTCACAAGCTCGTGTAGCCTTAGTGCCGGTTCCAAGCCCGGAAAAATGAGAGGGTTGCATCAGGAAGTGTATTTGGCACCAAGTCAAGCGTGAGCATTCATCCACTTTGACAAGCCCTTGAGAAATAAAGGGCATCTTATAATGGGAAAAACATTAGCCGTGCTTGTTATATGAAAGAAGGGAAAAGAAAAAGCTCGGTGAGTTTTAATGATTTTGCCTGCATTCAGTCTTCTGGTGAGGTCATTGTGCTTTACCCTGTCTGTTTTTCGTTGTCTCTCTCTATGCTCTTCTCCTTCTCCTTACTCCAACTGGTCGAGGCAGATGTCCACACTCCCCGAGTCAGGTTTTGCTGGAGGTTTCTTCCTGTTAAAAGGGAATGTTTATTTATTTGCTTTAATCTACTGTGCCAAGTGTTTGCTTAGAGGGCATTATTGTGTTTTAGAGTCATTACGTAAAATGGGAAGTACCTTGAGATGACTAAAGTTGTGATTGGGAGCTATGTAAATAAAAATGAATTGATTGTATTTTTCTTGTCTTTTTTTTAAATTAATTTTTTAATGAAGTTCATTCATTCATCCAGCAGTGCAGAAAATGGAGGTAAAACTGCTCTAGAAGGTAATATAGGCTGTGTTCCATTAGGGGGCAAAGTCAGACTGTGTTTGGTTTGGTGAAGCGCTTTCCAGCTTTAAAACAAGACTTAAGGGTTAAGTGTGAGATTATAGTTCTGCCACTGTAGGCTGCTATGCTGTGGAATAATGATCATAATTATTATAATTAGGAATATTATGTATATTTACATTACAAAAGTAAGTCTTAAATACGCAAATGAGGTAAAGTATATTGTATCAACTTCAATTAAGATTTTAACACTAGTCATTACCAGAAATCATTTGACGTTTCCTCGTGGCCTTAAGTCTGTGCTCTCCTCGGAAATCCTCACCTGTGACTCCTTCCTTCCCAACGGTGCCATTTTCGTTACATAATAATACTTTTTGATCTTGCAAACACTTAAAACCCTTTCATTAAGATCAGAGCACAAAGTCATCTGCTGAACTCCAGTGCTCAAGGACACTGAGGCAGGGTGGGTGGTTGACCTAGTTTGGCACGCTCTGGCTCCACAGATCTTCAATAATAAAAGACTTTAAAGACTGTGTGAACTTCTCCATCATCAGTGTCATCACCATTTATTATCTTCATCATCACCACTGTCTCCCTCCAGCAGTGGCTGGCTGTCAAAACATCAAAGTTTGCTACAGCAGCACTATAATTGCTCCCCCTCCTTCCCTCCTCTCTTTACCCACTTCCTTCGTCTACTCATCTCCTCCTCCTTTTTGTCCTCCTTCTCTCCCTCTAGAAATTGAACTTGCGTCTGCGACGAGAGAAATTTCATCATCATCATCATCACAGTAATTGTTGCCATCATGGCCGTAGTATTTACTTCTCTCCCTCCAGCAGAGACCCGTACATCAAACACTCAGCAAGTTCATTACAGTGGCCACTCCATTATGTCTCTAACAGTAAATCATGCAGTCGACCATACATAACGACATTTGGCTGTACATCATAGTTAATGATGGCTTGTGGGGTGGAATGTTACTGGCTGTACATCATGTCACACACAACTACCTAAAAACATGAACGTGCGCCCAAGCTCAAAAGCACACACGCTCGCGAACACGCTCGCGAACACGCATGCGCACGGTATATCATGTTTGTTTGGAACAGATCAGTGGTTTTCTGGAAAGGTCAGTGTTTCCTGGGACGCCATAAAGCATTTTTACAACCCACTGCTTGACACACGTAAACATATGTGGAGCATGAAATGATGGGAAAATTGTACGGCAACGTAAGCAAACTGGAAATAGCTCTCCTGTATTAAAATACTAATATCTATATGGGGTGTTTTGGCTTTGGTGATATTGAGCATAAAAGACAACGTTCCGACAATCTGCTGTTGAAATTCAGCTTTATGTCTTGTCAGTTGGTTTCGTTTAATATTTCAATTTAGAGATATGTCAAATGAAGATATGTTTGTTTATGACATTTAAAATTTCAGTTTTGAAAATGTTCATATGTTGACCATTTCAATGTCACATTATGAAGTGTTTTATATATATTCTGTCCAAAACTGTTTTATTTGCTCTGTTCAAATTAGTTTTTCTATACTGCTGCCTCATTTTTTATGTTTTTACCCCAGCATACGAACAATGCAGCAGATAAAAAGACTCATAATTTATTCTAAATACACTTTTTTGATACCTTCAATTCAGTTACATGTTTTTAGTGTCCATTCACAACAACAATCACTGGATGATAAACACTTGTATATATACACAAAAAGAGACAAAAAAGGTTGTGATTTGATACTTAGGTTCAGAAAAAAAAAGAAGGGGATTGTGCAGTTCAATGATTATAGAGATGCCACAGTGAAATTACTAAGTTTAGTACCACAGGAGGAAGGAACAGAAACCTATATTAAACCCTTTGCCTACCAGCCATATCTCGCAACTTGCTCAGTGACAGAGGAGGCTTCATGAAGCTGCTTGTAAGCAGATGGATAAACAATTACCAACTGAAAACATATAAGTTGTCCTAGAGCCAGTTCGCTTAGCACCAGTTTTGTAAAAGCAGGACAGTTATTCCATGTGTGATAGTTTATATTTGGCATGATGGGTCTAAGGACAGACCCATCATGCCAAATATGTGTTATTATGCACATACAGAGAAAGACAAGGCAGGGAATCTGAAACCAATACAATACCCCCAGCACAAAAAAGAGCAATGACAGCAGAAAAAGTGAACCTGGGCAGGAGGTGGGTTGCAAAGTTGCTTGCAGGTGCAGCAGGAACAGCAGCCAGGCTAAAGCAACTTTGTGTGTCAATTGTGTGTCCTATATGAGGTTTTGCCAATAGGTTGCACAGAAGAGTGTCAGCTGAACCGTCAGCTAATGTGAAATAGCATTTAGTTGTTACAACAGCTGATGTTATCAGCTTATGTAACAACCATCAGCTGTCTGCATAATCATTACCACCTACCCCCTTTCGACCTTTAATAGCTTCAGTCTAAGCAGACCCATAAACATAGAAGGTGTTTGTTAGCAGTTCAAAGAAAAGAACTGCTAACAAACATGAATTTATGACAATGAATGCAGACTCTGAAACTGTTAACAATATTATTGCTCTGGAGAGCAAAAAACAGCATATGCCATTACATTCAACATTTCAAGTGCAGCACAGCATGTATTCTTTGCTCTCCTATATCAATTTATTCCTTTAATATTTTCTCAAAAGGAATTCTAATATTATCAGCCATGAGTTCAAAGGCCTGGAGCCAAATGACCAGGGAACTGAATCAAACGCACACAGCATAATCGTAAAAAGTGGGCAGAGAAGAAAGCAAAGTCAAGATTTTACAAATGCAATGTTTCCCAGGACCAGCGGCAACATTTTTTTGATCAGTGAGTCCAAAAGAAAACCACTGCTATTCCACCAGTTAGTGGTGACTATCCATTTCTCCTTCTGGTTAATTTATCTACTTATCTCTGAAAACAGGACACATCTGAAAGTTTCTGTGGTTCATCTGCTGCCTGCTGCTCTGATCTGCTTTGTTCAAGTGTGGTTTCATCTACCACAATAGATTGCCATGGTAAAGCAGCAATTACACACCATTACAACACTATTACATTAGGAAGCACAAAAAAAGAAGAGACAGGCAGAGGGAGAGAGAGAGAGAGAGAGAGAGAGTCACGTTTGTCAATAGATGAGGCTTTTAGTGCAGAAGAGATGTTCGAGCTGCTATTAGTGCTGATTGGATTTGTGTGTGCATTGTGTATGTGTTAATGCAGAGAAAAAGGGCAATATATTTGCATGCATAGCTGTGTGCTTGTTTATACCCCAAATGTCCATGCAGCTGGCACATTTGTGTGCATTACATATTACACCTAGACCATATGTATGTATAATCTGTGCCAGCAGGACTGGGCACAATTGTTACCACGTGAGATAGGCTCCAGGAGATGAAATGTCATCTCTGCTGGGGAACTTTCACTGCACACAAACATGCACATACACTCAAACTCGTACTGACTCTAAGCCTTTCTCAATCTCTGCATGTCTGCACGCTGCCCTTGTATCTAAATGTAGATCTTATACTGATCCCAAAGACCTGCAGCGAAGTGGTGCTGCACAAGACCATGCTAGGTTTTTGTATGCATGTGTATGTGTGTGTGTGTGTGTGTGTGTGTATGGTGTTGCAGAGAGTCTGTGGTTTAAGTATGTGTCATGTTGTATACCATATGTTTAAAATTACCTCTTGCAGGGGACAAGTCTCCAGGCAGGGAATAGAGTATTTGTAGTGGCATGTCAACAGCACACACGCATATCCTTCTTTACACACATAATTAAACCATAAAGCTTACACAGCATGCACAAGCACACACAACCTATAGACACACATTTTCTCACTAACGAAGTATAGCTACTAATGACAAACACTTTCAGTCATTAATGCGCTCATCTACACACACGGCTTTAACATCTAGCTCCTCTGATGAGAGAAGATGGTGCTGTAAATGGGGTTTGATGAGAAGCAGATAGCTAAATAACTGGGCTAATAGGGCAATTGTAACCCATTACACATACATACACTGTACTTAACCT